CAGGGTGTTCTGAGCCCGAGCCCGGTTAGAAGGCTCTCTCAGTGGATTCTGCGTCCTTTTTCTCCCAATCTCTCAGGTTTTGTAAGGTTTCCAATGGCTTCAGATCTTTTCTGTGTGATGTATGGGCGCGAGTGCAAGTACGGAGCGCCTTACTTCTCCGCCATCTTGCCCTCTCTTTTATGACGATAAGTGAGAGGGATCATGTACTTCTGAACCATGGTTGATGGTAGGTAATCTGTTTAACTCTGTTGGGTGCAATTTCTCTTTGCCAGCACTTCCTCTGAGCTGTTTCTCATGCCTCTTTGTGTGTCCTCCCCAGTCTCCCTTTTTTAAGATTCTAATTATTTTGCAAGACCTGCATCTAGGCGCTGACCCGGGGTCTTCGGCAGCCGTCCTGAGCTCTTCTCACTGTCAGACAAACTACTAAGGGCTTTGTGTCCCTTTACTCGAGGTCAAAGGACCCACCGATCCAGGATGTCTGCAGTTTCCACACAACACAAACGCTTCTCAAGAAAGCGTGGCCTCGAGCAGCTTTGTCCTCCGTTTGTACTCTTGTCCCTGCCCTGCAAATACTAAGAGCAGACTCAAAAGAGAGACTTGGAAGGCTAGAGCCCGTGTTTTTCTATGGAGAACTAGACCCGGGTCTGTGAGCCAAGGCAGCATGTGCCATGAGCCCTGGCCCGGTGCAGCTGTCCTGCTGGAGCTGCTGTGAATGATTTCCCTTCCTTTTCAGATCACTTTCAAGAAAGAGCACCTCGAGGCCTGCTTCCTTTCCCTGGGTTGTGATGTGATGGCAAGAGAACGCAGCAACTTCGAGAGCTACTCCATGTTTTATGAGCACGTGTTGGAGCATGCTAGGCATAAGCTCTGCCAGAGAGAACAAGTACGTTCCCAGAGAGGCAGGAAGTGTGATGGGGAGTGTGTGGATAGGGAGGCCTGGTAACCCCTCTGAAGAGAATAGAACAGAGGGTAGGGAGGTGTTCCTAGGCAAGAACTGAGAGTGAACGGTACTCTCTGACGTCTCTTATCACTGGCTCATTTTCTTAGGGTCTGGTATGTTCAGCTGCAAGGGTGATGGCCCAGCAGCCCTGGGTTGTGTACTTTGGAGGTGTCTAGTGGAGAATATAAAAAGTTAGTGACAAAGGACCTGGTCATCACCCCCACCCCCTCACCCTTCCCTTCCTCAGGGAAGATGCATAACTGACCTTCCCACCTCAGCAAACCCAAAGTACCTTGTGCTGTTCCTGGTCTAGCAGAGAATTACGGATCCTTGAGTAAACTCTGTCTTCAGGATGCACCTCATGGGTCTCACTGATGAGACTTCCTTAAAATGAGATCCCACTGGTGGGATGCAAGAGTCACTTCTCCTGTCTTAATTGCACACCATTTTAAAAGGGATTGCTTCAGAGGTTCCGTGTAATTTTACTTTTCACCTAAGAAAAGTGCAAAAGTCTGGAAAAAAAAATCAAATGAAACATTCAAATATCAGTTGAGTCTTGGCTTCACCCCCAAGTTTAGCTTATCCACATAGCCAAGTCTTCTGCATTCGTGTGGACACCTGAAAATTCATCCTGTCTTTTGATCTCCTGTTGGGTGTCCTAAAGTCCACTGGGGCAACAAGTGCAGGTCTGGCTCCAGGAGGAACTGTAGGATCTCAGAATGAAACTCCATTAACACATAATAGGAGGTATCTGGAGCCTGCTGTCCTGAACTGAGCCATGTTTGGAAGAACAAATGGTTGAGTTTGGTTGTGCACTCTTTTGTCCTCCTCAGGAATTAGATATGATACGAAGAGGTTCAGGTCCTCCTGAAGGCAATGCTGGTCAGGTAAGTCAGTTATTTCCAAAAAGATTCTCTTTTCCATCTCACAAATCCACAATCTCAGCAGGAGCCAGACAGGGAACTTCCGAGTATTATTTTCTGGTGCCCTGTAGAAGGCCCATCAATTATGATCCACTGCAGAAACACCTAAGGAGTGTGCTTTCGCTTTTTAAGCAATAAGGGCTTTCTTTTTCTTAGTTTTTTGATGGTTTTTGTTCTTTTTTATTGCTTTGACTTTTATTTTTCTTGCTATTTTTGGCTTGGAGCAGGGGACTTTTTTCCCAAAGAAGAGGTATTGAGGCTGAGGTGTCAAGAAAGTCCAGTTTGCAAATGGAGACCAAGACAGTAGAAGTATTTTATCCCATTAAAAAGTGCTTAAGTGTGTCTCTTCTGGGGTCATATAATAGGAAACCATTTATTGAATACCTATTATATGTCTGGCACTGCTCTGAGACCCGTAAACCAACCTTCAATTCTGCCACCCATATTTGTACAACAGGATGTTCACCTCTTTCATTAGCTTCAAGGTAGGAGAGCAAATTGGACGTTGATATACAAAACTATTTTGTACTGGCAGTTTGGAATTCTTGAGTTATTTTCCATTAAAAAAACTATTTCTGCTCTTAGGTTGCAGAGCTCAGTCATAATATGATCATGGAAATCACTGCTCTGAGAGCTCGACTCACAGATCTTGAAGAAGAAAATCTGAATCTCAAAAAGCAGATTAGAAAAGAAGTCCAAGAAGAATATGAAGCATTAGTCCAGGCTCTGTTTGTGACATGTTTACACATAAAAGTAAGTGACCTGTGTCGGACGTCTGGGCAGTCCTGTGGGAACTGAGTGTTAATGACCTCCACAGCTGCTGCACACAGACTGGTCACGATGACAGAATGGGCTTTGTGGTAACAAGAGCCTGTTGGGCCCAAGAATTCTCTGGTTCTAAGTGTTTGCTACAGACAGGGGGTCAGCAATAGGTTCTCATTATTTTACCACTGTAAACACTGAATTTTAGATAATTTAGATATTTGCTCTTTTCCTCACTCTGCTGCCAAGGGCCATTGTTGCCATCTGATTGCTGTGAAAGACAGGTTGGGGTGGGGGAGTGTGTCTTCTCTAAAACCTGCAAACAGTTAATATCACTGTTTTGTCTATGGAGTGTGACCGTCCAAACAGGAGAGTGCAGTGCCCTAAGCCAGGCCAGACCCAGTGTATAGGTAGCAACGGGCGCATCCTGAAAGCTCACTGGACAGATTCAGAATTTGAATTAGCTTTCAGTGATTTTTTCCACCCTTCAAATGCACACCAGCCTTTCTCTCATGTCCAGTGTCAGGCAGCTCCTGACCTGTCAGTGAAGGTCCACCCAGAATAGGAGTGATAGGGTGCCCATGTGCCCATGGCACTGTGGAAGCCTGTCACTTTCTTTTGATGTCTAAGCAGCTGTAAGATGGAGGCCCCATGCCTAAAATGGGCCATCATAGAGCCTGGTCCAGCTGCCCCAATACTGCTAATTTCACTACAAATCCAAGCCCTCTCCTGCTATTGATGTTTCCCAGGGCCAGTCCCAAATGGGTCCTAACTTGGCTGTCTCTCCTGGGGGATTCCAGGTCCCTGAAGTTGTTACATTGACAGGAGTATCCACCAGTGCTCTGCCTTGGCCTGGCTATTCCAGAGAGGACTGGAGATTCCTCTTCACTTTTGAAGGATCTGTAAAACATAAGGGCTTACAAATATTAAAGAATCGAAACTAAAATGCATTGGGCCTGGTATTGCAGGAGAGGGATGAACAGACAGTGAAGTCTGGAATTTGCCAAGTCATCTTCCGGGTATGAAATTATTGAAAATTTTCTTATTTTTTTTTTAACTTATGCCAGATTCCTAGACAGAAAGTCGATTCTCTTCTTCTCCCAGGCTAAACTATTTCCACAGGCCACCCGAAGCAGAGAATTCCTGTTCTACCCCAGGCTCCTAAGTAGGTGGTGAAGCTTCCGCTATGTGGCCGGCAGCCAGACTTCCTGCCATGGCTGCCCAGCTGGGCACTATCTTCCCTGCTTTCCTCTCCAGGGAAGTGGTTCAGAGATGAGAGGACACCCAACTCTCACCTCTCACCCAAGGATGCTGGGTCTGTAGTTGTACTTAGCAATGATCAAGCCATTCCACCACAAGCCGTTTATCCATAAGCCATTTATAACAAGCTATTTCATAATGAGACTTCTGCTGGAACTGAAATGGGAAAGTAGCCAGCGTGATTCCTTCTTCTACTGTATTTTTTTTTAATATTTTTATTTATTTCTAGGAGAGAGAGAGAGAGAGAGACAGCGTGAGCAGGGGAGGGTCAGAGAGAGAGAGGGAGACACAGACTCTGAAATAGGCTCCAGGCTCTGAGCCGGCAGTCAGCACAGAGCCCGATGCAGGGCTCGAACCCACGAACCGCGAGATCATGACCTAAGCGAAAGTCGGATGCTTAACCGACTAAGCCACCCAGGCGCCCCTCTTCTACTGTATTTTTAATGCTCATTCATTCATTAGTGGTTCATCTATATAGTGTTTTATCTGGTCAGATTCTGCTAAGTCAACCTGATTGCAAAAATCCCTAGGTTCAAATTCTCAAGTAACCTTCTGGGCGAGGAGGAGTGATTCAGTTTTCCACCTGTGACCTTCCACTCTTCTATCCACTCAACTTAACTTGGCATCTGGTAACTTAGGCTCTAAGACATGTAGGGTCCATCTGATGAAGTCTTGTAGACTGAAGGCAATAGTAAAGGGGCTGCTAGGGAGACTTCCACGTAATACCAGATGGAATAATAGGGGAGACGATTTTTTTTTTCATGTGAAATCATTTCTGAAAGTTGGGTTTTAGAAAGCAAAATGACTCTTCCTCCACTGCCCTTCCTGAACTTGAGTCTGCAATTTGCAGGAAAAACTGGATGAGAATCAGATTAATTTGATCCAGAAAGTGTGTGAGCTCATCCGCGAAGTAAGAACAGAAGGGATTGACAATATGAAGGGCCTAAAGAAAAAATGGGGCTCTGCCAGACCTGATGAAGGAATGAAAGAAAACGCAGCCAAAGTACGTGATTTCATTTAGCGATAGGATATCAGCATTTCATCCCAGCATCTGACCGCACAGCTCAGTCTGTATGCATTCCAGCCTGGTTTCCCTGAGAAAGCATTGCATCAGACACTTAAAAAGAGCACGGGGGCTCACATTTTTGTGTCATCCTCTGGAAGGCACGTTTCTTTTTAAAGTTTTTATTTAGTGTGGGGGGGGAGGGGGGAGGAGGAAGAGAATGTAAGTGAGAGGGGCAGAGAGAGAAAGAGAGAATCCCAAGCAGGCTCTTTACTTCCAGCACAGAGCCTGACACAGGGCTCAAACTCAGAGACTGTGAGATCATGACCTGAGCCAAAATCAAGAGTCAGACGCTTGGGGCGCCTTGGTGGCTCAGTAGATTAAGCGCCCAACTCTTTTGACTCTTGATTTCCACATTTCCACTCAGGTCATGATCCTACAGTTTGTGAGATCAACCCTCCCCACTCACCACCCCAGGGCTCTGTGCTAGCAGTATGGAGCTGGCATAGGATTCTCTCTCTCCTCGCTTTCTCTGCCCCTCCCCCGCTTGCACTTTCACTTTCTTTCAAAAAAAAAAAAAAAAAAAAAAAAAAAAAAAAAAAAAGACTGAGCCACCCAGGTGCCCCAAGTCCCGTTTCGAATGTCAGGATCTGTGCCCTTCCCATGGGGGCAGCCTTTTCTGAAAGCAAGCCTTTCTCAGCAGGAGCAGCTGCAGACCTTGGAGCAGGACAACTGTCGCCTGGCTGCCCTGGTGTGCAAAGTGAGGAGCCTGGGCCTCTGGAGGCTGGCTGTGCAGCGGGCTCGCCTCCAGGCCCAGCTGCACAGGGCAGAGAAGGTGAGCGGCAGGGATGGGAGGCCCCGCCCACCCGCGGAGGCCCCGCCCACCCGCGCAACAGGGAGTGACTGACAAGGCGGAGGGCGGGCTGGCCTTCCTGGTCAGAGGCTGTGCCTGTGTCCTGGTGTCGGGTGGCAAGACCAACCATCTTAAAGGATCCGACAGTCTGGGAGTTTTCCAGGGAAGTGGCAATGTCAGAGCCCCCAGCGAAATAGGAAAGAGCCAGAAGCCAACGGCAAAGAAGCAAACGGGAGAACAGAGTCTAGCACGAAAAAGGGGAAAGATGGAGGGGAGACGTCACCTAGGGCTTGAGGCAGCTTCATCAAAACACTGCAAACCTTTGAGTTTCAGACATGATTATCTGAGGAAAATGAAGTAACAAAATAAGTGGAAAATCTATTTCAAGGCAAATTGAAACCAAAGCACATAGAAAGAGTGGTTTGGAAACTTTCACTTAGTGTTTCTGAAAGTCCCTATTTGCTCTGTCACACTGTTCTTCAGGGAGGACACAGAGCCAGTGACCAGAGCTTCTTTCTACCGGAAGTGGTTTTTTAAAAAAAAATGTTTATTTATTTTGAGGGAGAGAAAATAAGAACATGAGTCGGGGAGGGGCAGAGAGGGAAACAGAGGATCCAAAGCAGGCTTGGACAATGTTACAGCAGTGAGCCTGACCTGGAGCTCGAACTCAGAAGCATGAGATCATGACCTGAGCCAAGTGAGCCACCTGGCACCCCTCTACCGGAAGTTTTTAAAAACAATGGATAATGAAGTGGTTTAGACTCTTGTGAAATGGAAACTATGGAAAGGAAACTTATTTCCTATCTTACTGTGTTTGGGCTGCTCACAGGAAGCTATGCAAAGTAAAAAAGAGTGTTCGAGCATCAAGCTGATGGCAGAGCAAGAAGCGGTTTTATTTCATCAGCAGCTAGGGGCCCTACGGCAGGCCCTGGCCAGGGCTCAGGCCCACAACACTAGGATGCGCAAGCAGCAGGATAGCCAGGTATCTGAGCCCCAGAACCCTTCTTCCTCCCTCCCTCCCTCGAACTCGCTCTGCAAAGGTGACTGTGGACCCGGAAGCAGCACCCTGCCACCTGCAGCAGTCACCGGAACTCCAGGGCTGAGGCCGAGCAGATGGCGCTGCCAGAGAAAGATGGCCTCAGCTTCCCTTCTGCCTCCTTTCTAGCCTAGACACCAAGGAGAGGGGCCGAAAGTTGGCCAAGATAATGAAATACCACTACCCTTCGTGTAGTGTGTATGTGTCTATGTTTCTCAGAGGATCTTTTTGCCTAGAGGGCATCTTGGGTGGTAGGCCTCTGTCTTAGACATAGTCCTTTCATCTCCAAGCATGCTTTCCATCACTAGCGACCTTCTGTGCGAGAAGCGTGGCCTAGCCATCAGCATTCTTCCCCAGAGGAAATCTGTGTTCTTTCCCGATGACCCACCCCTACTAAGTCAGAATTTCAGAAGTAACCGCTGCTCAATGGGGGCAGGCACCAAAATAAAGGCGTTTCCAAGTTTATGTTAATAACTGTGCTAACTCTCTGAGAAAGAATGAAGAAAGACCCTAGGTTTACTGTTCTTATTTTTATTTCTCTTAACAGTTTTGTATCTTTTTTTTAAGTTTATTTATTTGTTTATTGAGAGAGAAAGAAAGAGGAGAGAGAGAGAGACAGAGAGGTAGAGAGAGAATCCCAAGCAGGCTCCCTGCTGTCAGCACAGAGCCTGATGCGGGGCTCAAATCCACGAACTGTGAAATCAGGACCCGACCTGAAACCAAGACTCAGACTCTTAACTGGCTGAGCCATCCAGGTGCCCCAGAAAGACCCTGGGTTTAGAAAGAGAAGAGTTCAGTTTAAATAAGAGGCTGGGAAATCTGGGCATATTTAAATCATGACATATAATTTGTTCCTTTTGGACCCTACGCCCTCCATTATTGTGCACCAAGTGAAAGATGGAGTATAATTATGTAAACTGTAACATCACCATACAAATATTATTAGTATTAGTATTATAATTGAGGATCGGCCATCTGGTACTTATGGTGCTCCTGATTAGAAAAATTTCAAAACAGAACCAAATCATCACTGTGTTTTTCCTTCATTAACCATCTGGAGCCTGGCTTCCCCAAAGCTATTTTGGAAGTCAAAACACAGGCAAGATTAGAACCTCCCTTCTCCACTCACTGCTTTGTATTACATCACCCCCTTCTCCCCAGGATGACCTTTGCCTGCTGTCTCATGATAAATGCTCAATGACAAGGCAAATGTAGTTGGTGACAGATATAACTATGTAGTTAGCAAGTTAACTAACATACATGCTATCATCAAATCTGGGCATTTAAAGACCAAATTACTTGACCTGGTATTGTACGGTGGCATTACCACTTGCCTGGCTTTTGCTGTTTGTTTCTTTTGCCCCCTCCTTCCCCCACTATTGCCTCAGGGCTTACAGTACAGGCCAAGCTGGCCTAGACCCTGGGGTAGTCTTGCTGCCTGCCAGCCCAAACAGAACCACTATTATCCAGAGCCCAGGAATATTCCACAGAGTTGTGCCCCTGGGCCCTACTGGAGGGGACCGCTACTGTGCTGGGCAACTTCTTCTCTGCCTTTTGGTGAGAAGAAAGATTCTGTCCTTTCTTCGTTTCCCTTGGCCTTTTCCTACCACAGGCTCAATTGCTGAGAGAGCTGCAACACAGAGTGACCCAGGAAGCTCGTCACCGGCAGCAGCTGGATCTAATGAAGACCTCCGGCATGGAGAAGCTCTTGGAAGATGTGCAGCAAAAGGACCAGCACCTGCAGCTCCTTACTGAAGAGGCTGAGAGGGCTTCGAAACTGGGCCAGCTTCAGCAGAGGAGAACTCAGGCAGAACTCCGACAGGTAACTCCAGTGGGAGGTAGCAGCCACTTGAAAGCCAATTGGGGTGCACCAGCCAGAGCTGGGCCCTTCTTCTGGCCTTCTCTATGCCTCTGGTGGCCTCCACCTTTGTCATTTCTAGGCCCACAGGAAAATGGAGATATTTATGCCCACACTGGGTGATGCTTGGGCTGCCCTTGGTGAGAGAGGACGGCTTGACTGCCTCAAGGCCCGCAATCTTGGCACCTTTAGCACCCACGTGGGAAACATTTCCATCTGGCTACAATTTCTGAGCTAGGGAATCCTTTAGAAAATTCCAACTGTAATCTGGAAAAGCAGCAAGGATTATGAAAGCTATTACAAGAGGATTTTATTCAAGGAGTTTCTGGAACTTTAGAGACAAAAAGGGAAAGCAAAAGTGATTTCCAGACACAATAGATTTTTCTTAAATATACCCCTACAGCAAGAAAAGAAAAAAAAAAGAGGAGGAAACAGTAGATGTAGATGTGGATTAATGCAAGTTCCAACACAGGAGAGCACAGAATGTAATCCAATACAGAAGGCAAAAGAAATGGCACCTTCCGGAAAAGGCACTTCTCATGTGTTCACTGGAGGAATAAGTCACTTAATTAATTCACCAGAGATACTAGGAAACAGAAGTTGAGAAGTTGAATTAAATCATTGGCCGGGGTGCCTGGGTGGCTCAGTCAGTTGAACATCCAACTTCCGCTCAGGTCATGACCTCACGGCTCGTGAGTTCAAGCCCTGCATCGGTCCCAGAGCCTGGAGCCTGCTTCAGATTCTGTCTCTCTCTCTGTCTCTGTCTCTCTCTCAAAAATAAATAAAACCATTTTTTAAAAATTTTTAAAAATTAAATCATTAGCCAAATGTTTCAAGTGCTCAAGGAGGAGATCAATGGGGAGAAGTCTACAAAAACAAAGACAAAAATTTTAAGAGAATAAAAATTGAATTGAGGCAGTGCTAGAGAAAATATTTTTGGAGAAATGGAGCGAAAGTGAGTAGCTTTAGAATAAAAGAAAAATTAGAACTTCACATTTATTTTATGACAAACGAAACTATGACTTGAATCCTTGGAAAAATTTGGTGTCACATATCTATCTTTCAAATTATGCTTTTCTAAAAACCACCACAAAAATAAGGAGTTCGTCTCTCAAACTCCTCTCTAGTGAATAGCTAATTTTTGTCTAACAGCAGAGATTCTAAAAGTAGTCAAAAATATTTTGAGGCTTCTCTCAACAAATACACGTCTTTTGTGAATATATGTCAAAACAATCACTGGCTGTTTCTAAACCACCCTCCACCTCTGCTGGCAGCTCCTGGGCTTATGGTCTCACTTCCTACCAACTAGCAATCTACCCTCAGCCAGCAAGAGCCCCTGCGACCTACAGTCACTTCTTTAGTCCGTCTCCAACCTCCGGTTCCAAGGGCGGATTTTGACCGTCTGAATGAATGTCCTCACCTACCTCCCGTTCTTGAGGAGGCCCTAGAGCAGACTTCCTGATTCCCAACCTGGGGACTTCCACTGTGTGACTTTAGGCTAGATCTGTAGTCTCTCTGCTTTGGTCTCCTCACTGGTACAGTGGAGAACAGTTTCCTCATTTCATGAGATTTTTTGGAGGATTAGGTCAGGTAATTCGAATGAGGCACTAAGAAGAGAAACTAATACACAGATCTTGATAGATATGGACTGTATGTCTTTTTGCCGGGAATATGAAAGTGGGTACTTTTGGAAACAGATTGACCTGGATTGGTTGTGGGATCTTGGGCATATCACTGCAACTACCTCTGTGAAGTTGGGGGTGGGGGGCGGGGGAGGTCCTTTATAAGGTCCTAACATAACACAAGGTCCTTACTAAGCATGCTTCTTTTCTTTTTTAATATTTTTCAAACTGAGTTAGCCCCAGCCTGGCTCAGGGAGTCTTGATAATGTTTTTCTTGATAGGGTTTGATATAGTTTGATATGATAAGTTTTGATACGCTTCTTGTCCATGGGGATCGTGGAGCCTACACCAATCCCTGAGTACATAGAGAGACCTTTGGCCTAATTTGTATTAGGACGTTTTTCCTAACTCCAGGGATCTGATCTTCTACTGAAAGTTACAGTACTTGAGAGCATCTGCACACACGAGAAACTGCCCCTCTAACTTTTGTAAGATGGCCTGTGGTTACAGCATCAAGAATTCACACGCCTTCTGGTTGGGTTATGCAGATAAGAGTGTGCTGAATTTTTGAGATTAGCATGTGGATTAGCTAGCTAGGGCTACTGTAACAAATTACCGCAAACTAGATGGCTTAATACAACAGAAATTTATTCTCTCACAGTTCAAGAGTCAAGAAGCCTGAAATCAAGACGTTGGCTCCTCCTGGGGGCTCTGAGGAAGAGTCTGTCCTGTGCCTCTCTCCTGGCTTGTGGTGGCTGCCTGTAGTCCTTGACATTCCTTGGCTTGTAGCTACATCACTCCAATCTCTGCCTTCTTCATCCGATGCCCTTCTCCCTATGTGTCCCTCTGTGTGTCTGTACTCTCCCCTCTTATAAAAGCATCAGTCATTGTATGTAAGGCCCACTCTTAATCCAGTATGACTTCATCATAACTTAATAACCTCTGCAAAGACTATTTCTAAGTAAAATCACATTTTGACATTCCAGGTGGCTATGAATGGGGGGACACTATTTGATCCACCTTACTATTAATACTTTTTTATAATTATAACTTTTTATACTTTATAATTTTATGATATAATTATATTCATATTACTTTTTTATACTTTTGAATAATTTTTATAATTAAACCACTTTTTATAATCTATATGAATTTGTATTTATATAAGTAAAAAATAAATTTCAAAAGAAAAATACCTCCCATCTATATAGATGAGGTGCACTTTGGATCCAGCCATATGAGTCAGCTGTGCTAGCAAGCGCCACATGAGTAAACACAAAGATTGCCTCTCTGGGGCACCTGGGTGGCTCAGTCGGTTGCGCCTTCAGCTCTTATCTGTGTTCAGGTCATGATCTCACCGTTAGTGGGATTGAGCACGCTGACAGTGTGGAGACTACTTGGGATTCCCTTTCTCCCTTTCTCTGCCCCTCCCCTGCTCATGTGCTCTCTCTCTCTCTCAAATGTAAAAAAAAAAAAAAAACACACATTAAAAAAAGCTCACCTCTGAGTATGGGCCTTATATAAGGCCTGGGAGATGGTGCTCAGGGCATCCCTGCAGATGAGGAGCTGAGCTGAGCTAAGCATAGAGATCTGGGAGAGAGATCAAGTCTCTCCTTTGCTTGAAACTATCCAGGGATTTCCTACTGTCCTTGGGGTCAATTCGTGGCTTGACCTACAAGGCCCTCTGTGAACTGGGGGCCCTTCTTCACCTCTTCTCTTCCCCTCCCCTCTGGTGAAATAAACATAAAAGATATAAATTTTATGAGTAAACTGGCTATTATAAGGTAATAAGGGAGTCCAAGGGCTGCCTCTGCTCATCTTTGGTTAAGTTCTTAGCCTTCCTGGAGCTCTTGATTTTCAGAAGGCTGAGTTCAGCCTGACCAGGACTGGGTGAAGACTTGTATTCCTGGGGTGGCCTGGAGCCACACTTTCCTAGTATCCCCAGGAACTAAAGTGTGCACCAAAAAGCATCTCTGCTTCCTAAGCACTTTTCCCCTCAGCTGAGAAGCCGGCTTGCCCAGGAACGCAGCGTGAAGCTGGATGCCTTCCAGCGCATAGAAGAGCTACAAAGTCAGCTTAATGATGCTGAGCGATTGTCTGTCCAGATGAGTTCACCAGGCGGTACGTGTGTCCCCTACTCTGGCTAGAACAAACCCCCAGGTCTGGGGTCTGAATTGAAGGAGGGTCTCATGGACTAGCGAAAACAACCCAGTGGTTATTGCATAGGTGCTCCGTGATGTCTGTTGAGTGAATGAATGAATGAATGAACGAATGATACATGAATAAATAAAACTTAATTCTGATTTGCAGTCATAACTTTCCACTTTAGTTCACCTTGGAATACTGACATCCTATACTAAAAGATTTCAGTCATAAAAACTGGTCTCAGGAGGGTGTAATATACCATTTAAAGAACATTCGCCTTAGGACATCAATGACTAGGTTTCTCAGGTGTTGTTTATAAACTATATTATGATTCTTGGGCGCTGGGGCCCTGGAGAGTGCTGTGGAAATGGCAATCAAAACAGCCCTCTCTCGGCAACGTAACATGGAGCAGAGGCCAAACCCAGGGTATCTCTAAACTAGCCTCCTTCCCTGTAAGTTGAAGATTTAATTCCAAGTTCTTTTTTGATCTGACCATCAAAAATATCATCAAATATCAGCAACCAGGACTGAATAACTGTGCAAATGTTGGTTACTATACTTCAACACTTTCATCCCTGCATGTCCATTATGTTTACTTTTGGCTGTTTATCAGTTGAATATATATAAGAAACAGCCTTTCACAAACAGAAAGATCAGTGTCTAAGACCAAGCAGACAAAGATGGAGCTACGTTGGGTTTGCTGAGAGCAGGGCTGGGCTGGCTGGTAAAGCCCAGAGCTCTCCCCGCTGTCTCTGTGCCTACTGCCTGGGCCCTGACCGCTGGGTGAGGTTCCACACCCCAGCTGTGCTGTCCAAAGAGGAAGAGTCTCAAAAGTACCCAAGGGCCCTATTTTGGCCACTGACCCCGAGCAGTTCTGTACCTGTCACTTTCCTCTCCACACTCCATGGGATTTTCCTGTCTCTCCCTTGCCCCTCTGCTTCCAGCCTAGCCAAGCATTTTTTATTTCTTTTTATTTATTTAAGTAAGCCCTACACCCAATGTAGGGCTTGAACTCAGGACCCTGAGATCAAGAGTTCCCTGCTCTGCTGGCTAAGCCAGCCAAGCACACCAGCGAGGCATCTTTTTAACCTCTTTCTAGGCTAATGTGTCCTTTCAAACTGCCCTCCATGTCCTCCAACACCTGCACATTTATGAAGAAGAAGCAGAGTGAGGCACAAGACAGGTGTGGGGTGCAGGCAGGACCCTAATTCCCAGGACTGGGGATGTGGCAGGAGTGAAAAAGAAGCCTCCTTCCCAGGAAGCAGAGCTAGAAGTTACTCCTAAGCCCCAGTCCCAACCTGTCCCCCACTGCAGTGACTCCCTATGTGTAGATTCACTGAAAGGGAGACACTGGGTCGCACCTGTTATTTAATACCCAGCACTCCAAGGGGACAGCTCTACTGTTAATGTGACCAGGTAGAAGTCAGCCGTTCCCACTCCTTTCTCAGCTGTTGTTCAGCTGAAAGCATGAGGTGACCAAGGTCTCTCCTTTCTGTAGCAGTGATAGCAGCAGCCAACCTGCCCCCTACATCAGAAGCTTAAGAAGCAAAAACAGATTTAAGGAGCAAGCTCTCCTTACTTGGCAGTAGCATGGAATCCCCTTAGGATCTTGCAACTCCTGAGGAACTATATAATATGCTCTAGTGCAGTTGGTCTTAAAATGCTTAAGGAAAAAAAAAATGAAATCAGTTGGCTGACAAAACCATGAAATGTTTGGAGGTAGACCAGCTTCAGTTCGCTCGATCCAGGTCTGACGTACTTCCCCAGGCCTGACTTCTGTCTGCACCTGTGGGCTCCGAGAATGCTGGGAGCAGAAAGGAAGTGGAGGTGACCCCCTGGGAAGTAAGATGGCTGCCACCGCTGTACCTTCCATCCTCTGTTCCAGCTCGCACGGCAGGAATGGGTGTGGAGATGGGATAGTTAAAAAGGATCAGCCCCTGACCAGGCTGACTTGGGTCACATGCCCCAACTTGAACAAATCACAAAGCCAGAGACTAAGATGGTTGGTGGGCTTAAGGCCTGCTCACATGTCACTCCCCTGGAGCAGAGGATGGGTCAGCTCACTCTCCTCTTCCCAGCAACTATTTTAAATCTCCCTGGTCCCTTCAGATCTTCAGACGCTGTCCTCCCCAGCCAAGACTTTACCTCCGGTTTCACAGAGCAATTAAAAGCCATCACATGGGCGTGAAGGTGCCTGAGTGGCTCAGTTGGTTAAGCATCTGACTCTTGGTTTCCGCTCAGGTCATGATCTCATGGTTTATGGGTTCAAGCCCCACATGGGGTTCTGTGCTGACAGCTTGGAGGCTGCTTGGGATTCTCTCTCTCTCTTCTCTCTCTGCCCCTCCCCTGTTCATGCTCTCTCTCAAAATAAATAAATAAATAAATAAACATTTTAAAAAGTTAAAAAAAGTCATCACATGGGATCCCCCCTTTATTTCTTGACCCCAGCTCGTTGACATTAGATATTCAGCTGCTTCTCGGTCCTTTCCAATAAAATGGAAAATGTGCCCCATTTCTTCCCTGGGTCAGTCCCAATGCTCGAAATCCCATTTGCTTCTAGCTTTTCAGGGATGCTGAACTATTATTTATCTGCTTTCTCTCTACATACTCATATATCCTACCCATCTAGCCTTCTAATCTTGTAACCAACCATTATTATTGAGTTTATACGTGCTAGGACACAAAATCCACCATAAACTAACATTAACATCTATCCAGTTGGTTGAGCCAGAAATCTGGGAGCTATTCTTTGTCATCCTGCAAATCACTTAATTACCAAGTCCTGTTAACTTGAATATCTCTAAGTCGGTCCACTCCTACCCACCATAGTCCAAATCACCTATCATGTTCTTCTCTTTCACTTGGTCATGTGACCCTCAGGCAAAAGATTCCATGCAGGTTTTGACATCCTCATTCAAAATTGACAAAACTGGATTAGATGCCCATTTCAAGCTTTTGTAAAATTTTATGGATTAAATCTGGGTCCATACATTGCAACCAGAGATATAATTTAACATTTTTAACATTATAGGCCTTATATCTCGGGCTGAGTACTCCCTGAGTTCCGCTTCCACATCATTCCGATACTCCCAGCAACACCTTTTAAAGACTAATCTTATGAGCAGTAAAATAACAAGAAGGATTCAAAGGCCGGAAACTGTAAGTAATGATAAATTTGATTATATATGTGAAACAATGATAATGTAAATGATATCATATTTATCATATGATGAAACAATGATAATGAAATTATGGCTTTAGGTTAGGTTTTGTCAAACTTAAAAAATTATATATCAAGACACCTGGGTGGCCCAGTCTGTTAAGCGTCCAACTTCAGCTCAGGTCATGATCTTACAGTTTGTGGGTTTGAGCCCTGCATTGTGTTCTGTGCTGACAGCTCAGAGCCTGGAGCCTGCTTCGGGTTCTGCGTTTCCCACCCTCTCTCTCTGCCCCTCCCCTGCTCATGCTCTGTCTCTCTGTCTCTCTCAAAAATAAATAAACCTTAAAAACATATATCAGGCTCATATCTAGATACTTGGGTTAGATAATAAAATTCTGGATTTCTCATAAAGGGGCTTTGTCCATGGAATTTCGCCAAATCGATGTGTTTGTGGGAAGAAGGATAGTCCAGGGTTTCCTACGTTGCCATCTTGCTGATGCTACTCCTCAATAATAGAATTCTGATGTTAAAACAGTTCAGCCCAAAAGCACTTACTCAACTACATTTATTTATTTATTTATTTATTTACTTATTTATTTATTTATTTATTTAAAAATCTATTTTATTGTCAAGTTAGCTAACATATAGTGTATACAGTGTGCTCTTGGCTTCGGGCATATATTCCTATGATTCATTGCTTACATGCAACACCCAGTCAACAAGTGACTCTTGATTTTGGCTCAGCTTTGAGCCCAGAACTGTGAGACTGAACCTGAGCAAAAATCAAGAGTCAGATACTCAACTGACTGAGCCACCCAAGTGCCCCATTTCTCACATGTCTTTAAAATGACTTCTGAAACTTTCTGCTGTGCCCAGGAACTCAAATAAGAGATCTGATGCTGCTAGTTTAAAAAAGTGTTTATTTAAATAAATGAATGTGGAAGTCATTATCAACATTTTGCTATGTTCTGTCTCTGAATTTCTTCTTTTTCTTCAATCATCTACAATAATTAACCAGCAGTTCTCACAGTTTGTGGGTTCACGCTCTGCATCAGGCTCCGTGCTATTGGTATGGAGCCTGCTTGGGAGTCTCTCTCTGCCCCTTCCCCACTTGGTCTCTGTCTCTCAAAAATAAATAAATAGGCTTAAACAAACAACAACAACGTGAGAAATCTACCCTCCAAAGAAATTCTTGGCATACAGATTAGGTCCAGGTATAGCATGTATATGAAGATTTGTTTTTAACTTTTCAGCTTTTAGTTTATGTAAAACAACATTTACACCCTCTTCCACTGCCTTCTCTGCACTACTTTAGTAAGTATTACATCTTTGCCCAATTGTTTTTCAGAATCCCCTCCAGGCATTTCTATGTCAACACAACACATTTAAAATTATTCCCTCTTGCTTTGAGAAAAATGAAAATGAAAATGAAAAGATTTAATCATTCTGTCAGGGAAATATGCCATTTTAAGGTCTCTTTTGAGGGTGTAATTCTGTAGTTGATAGTCTGGTTGTTGGACCAAAAATTTGCTACAGTATTTCTAAACATGCAGTTAAAAAGAGTCATACACAGAGAAGAAACAGATTAGGAACGTGCCTTTGAGATGCTTGACCAAATCGTGCCACATTATTAATGCCCCCCTTTGGCTTGACTTACCAATCTCTGTGCGGTCATCTTTCACCAAAACGTAAGATTCTAGTATATGTCTATTTGTTTCTGCAAAAGCCTTTTCCAAAAGGAAGCAATATTCAGTTGGTGTGTATGGAACAAAAAGAGCTTTTAAGACTCCCCCCATCTCCATTTCACTCCCAAAAGCAAATGTTGCTGTTTGTGGGGGAGTTTGGTAATCACAACGCATGATCCAGAAGGCTGCTTAAGTAGCTAAATGCATCAGAGGAGATTCACTGTATTTGAAAGATTCAGAAGTGTGATGGTCTAAATAAACCCTAATAGATAAGGGAGTATTTTGTGGGACCGTGTATACTATAGAAACCCCAAGCAATAAGTGTAAGGTCCAGGAAAGGCACAAAAGAATTGGAGCCTCTTCAAATCTCTCTAAGCTCTGACTTCTTAAGACAAATCAGATAAATGCATATTGAAGAAGAATTTATACATGGCTGGAATGTAAGACCAATGATTTTCTTAATGAAACAAAGCAAAACACTGGATTAACATAAATGATAAAATATTAAGGAATTTTTAGATTATTCCACATATGGGATATCTTTTTTTCCTTAGCTGAAAAAGGCTTTCCTTTGATAGGCTAATTCTTGACCTATTCACTTTATGACAAGTGTCAAATACAAAAAGAAGGCACACTAAATGGCCTAACCTGGACTGAACAAATGATCTCGGTCTTAGAAGTAACAGTGACATTTAATGATATCTCCAATATCTATTTAAACTTTATATTCCAGGTACCTATTAAACACAAAAAAAGGATTGACAATGTCGTTCTACCCAATGTGGAAGAAAATGTTCACCTTTCAGCTTTTCAAGTTCACACAGCTCCATCCATAATCCCATGAGGACCTGACTGGTAATCTATATATACCCTCCAAGTTTTCTTTCTTTGAGCATCTGAATGAATAAACATAATTCAAACCTCCATTAAACCTTTATCTAATTTTGATGATCAGTATCAGCAGATAGTATGGAATGACTGAGATGGTAACATCCCAAAAGTCCCAGGTGGCTTTACGTTCTGAGACCTAAGAGTTGATTTGCATTTCTACAACCTGGGGCTTGCCTTCACTCAACCTGCAGCCTCTCATTATGGGTTCTAGGTTACTGATGGTGTGTTAGCCAGGAGAGATGGCATTGCTGCTAAGTGGTATACATTAACAGTGAAAAACCAGAACAGAGATAAATCTAAACAAACTTCAAAGCACTTATTTCTATTTGTTTCATTTAAGAACATTGTCCTCTCTTAACAGTTTTTTTTATTCTTCCTACAAATACTAAAACCCTCTTTAGACTTTTTTAAATCCTAATTAAAGTCTTTTGCTCAGACAAGAAAATGTATCTTAGGTGAAGGAATAAATAGGTAGATGAATGAACAGAATAGGCCAGAGAAACATTTACATACATAAATTTATATATGATATATGTAGCTTTTCAAATTAAGGAGAAGGTTGAGTCTATTCAAAGTAGGTTAAATTATCACCTTACACCACACATAGTGAATTCTGACTGGGTTCAAGATATATATGCACACATGCACACACACACACACACACACGCACACAGACATACATACAAACATATTTCTGAAATAGAACATGAAAAAAAAAAAGCCAGAAGGAAGATTGGTGACTTTGATATCAAAGCTAAAAATTCAGCATGACAGGGGCACCTGGGCAGCTCAGTCGGTTAAGTGTCCGACCTCAGCTCAGATCATGATCTCACAGTTGGTGAGTTCGAGCCACATGTCGGGCTCTGTGCTGATAGCTCAGAGGCTGGAGTCTCCTTCAGATTCTGTGTCTCCCTTTCTCTGCCCCTCCCCCACTCCCACTCTGTCTCGCTCTCTCGAAAGTAAATTTTTTAAATGTTAAAAAAAAATTCCGCATGACAAGGTATGGTGCCAGTTATCAGCTTATGAGCTCTTAACTCTAAATTCATCCTGTCTGCTGTGATGGATGGACCATGAAAATATTTCCTCTTCACCAACTACAAGATTTTAAGCTTTGTCAATAGAGAGTACTGGAGGGACTCTGGAGGAGGAAGGGTTTCTTTTCTAGCTTCTGGGGTGCCTCTCTAGGTAGGCTCCTGCTGCGGGTGTGGCTTCTGCAGCATCAGGTTTCTGTAGCGCATGTGGCTTCACGGCCTGCCTGGTGCCCTTCCTGAAGGGCTTTCTCCTGCGCCTCCTTTGTGAGGGCTGCTTCACAGCCTCAGTGAACTTCTCCGCCAGCCAGTGAGCCATCTACTGAGGTCATACCTTCTCCAGTGGATGTCAGCCCTGGAGGGTGACGGCTGCTCACTATATCTGCTATCCCTATATTCTTCGGAGCTCTCTTTATTGCTGATCAGCCATTCTTCCCATTACTTCAATCCCTTGTTACAGTTAATAATTCCTTATATTAAACTTTCTCCCAGTTTGATTACTGGGTGTTTCTGTCTCCTAATTGGCCCATGAATTATATAGAACTGATACGAGCAGTGGAGGGATGCTGGGGGCAGACTCACAAAGGTGGGATTTGGGGGGGTTGTTTGGTTGCACTCTCGGGCTTGAGCACAGGGCTGAGCTCCTTGACGATAGGAAATGGAATGCTAGTAATCGTTTGTGTGCAGTGACATGACAATCAACCAAGCTGTTATCCATGGTAGGTTGTGGTGAAGTACCTACTGAAGTGTGTGCCTTGGGAGCCCAAATTGCTACTACACTGACTCTCATGGCAGTAATGATGACCATAAATACCAGGGTGTGGGATGGTCTCTTTTGGATGCACTTCACCACTTAAGAAGAAAATGACAAGCACTGGTCCTTTAATTCTCGGCTCAAATCATAGTCTGAAAACCAGAGAGCTTCCGCAGTAGCCTTTTAAAAAATCTATTTCTTGTAGTCACAGGGCTAACAGTGCTAATAATGAAGCACACGTCTTAATTGTGCAGAATGCTAAATTACAATGGCAGTTGAATTCACAATCTTGTCATTTCTCACTGCTGTTGAGATGGGCTCTCTCATTTCAGTGGTCATGATGCAATCCTAGAATAGCAGCAGGCAATTGCCAAGGACAAGGTGTGTATGTCTATTATAAAGGGCAGCAGGGACAGCTCAGTAGTCAGATTACATACCTGGCACAGAGGGATCTTTGCTGGTCAATGTGTTCCCCTGAATGAAAACATACGGACAGCCAACTAGAAATACTAATCAATCTATATAAGAAGAGAAGCTCTAGTCAAAGCCTGGCCTGCGTCGGCACAGTGGAGAGTCATAGTTTCTCACCCAGATTCCATACCTCAGTCAGTTCACAGACTAAGCAGGACCTCTTGCCTGCAGGGGAGGCTGGATCCTCTTGAGGAAGGACCCCGCACCACATTGTAAATCATCCAAACATTTTCCTAAGGGATCTTCTATCATTTGCTAGAGTTGTTCATCAGAAAGGAAGAAATATTCAGACCATTGGTGAAGAAGAGGCACTACTCTAATTCTAATTCCTGGGAACCCAAAACACTCTGTGGCTCACCAGTCAAAATGAAGGCTTACAGTGAGGTAATAGGAGTTAGGTTCAAATTACAGTGAACTCAGTTGGTCTATGGACCCACCAGGGGTGGTTCCTGAATGTATAATTGGAATAGACATAATTAACAACTGAAAGTTTCTCTAACCCATGAGTTGAAGTCTCATTATTGTAGGAAGGGATAATTGGAAGCCCCTGAACTTCCCCTATTAAAGTAAACTTAGAAACAACATTACATCCCGGGGGAAACTGCAGACATTAATGCCACCATCAAAACTTGAAGGAAGCAAGGGTGATAATACCTATCACATCACCACTTAACTCACCACTTTGGCCTATGCAGAAAATAGGTAGATCTTGGAAAATGACTAGGGACTATCAGATTCACACCTTAATCAGATAGTGATCCCAGATGCAGCTGCTATCTCAGATGTAGTATCTTACTGGGGCAAATAATAAATATCCTCCTGGCATTTGTCATGCAATTATTGACCTAATTTGTTATGCCTTTCGCTCCATAACAAATTGTAAGGACCATGAGGAGCAGTTAGCTTTTACCTGGTAGAACAGCAGTATTCTGTCACAGTCTTGGCTTAGGGCTTTGTCAATTCCATTCTCTGCCATGATATAGTCTGTAGACACCTTGATCATCATGATAGTCTACAAAAATCACATTGGTCCACTATGTTGATCATATTATGCTGACTGGATACAATGAATAGGAGGTAGTAAGTACTTAGGTGCCTTAGTAAGACATACAAGAACTAGAAGGTAAAGGACAGAATTCCACAAAAATTTAAGGCTATTAACCCCAACGAAGCTTCTTGGTGGGGGGAGGGGAACAACGTTTTGGAGCATGTTAAATATCCCCCTCCAAGAAGACATGTTGCTTCGTCTCACACTATGTACCATGAAAAACAAAAGCATGATGCACAGTAGGCCTTTTTGGATTTTGAAATTAATATGTACCATATTTGTTTGCTATTTCAACGCACCAATAAAATTATGTATAAGATTACCAACTTTAAGTGGGGACCAGAGCAAGAGAAGGCTCTGTCATGAATTTGAGTTACATTATGAGCTGTGCTGCCATATAGGTCCTAAGATCCAGCAAAGCCAATGAGACTAAAAGTATCCTGGCATGTATGGAGCCTTTATCAAACAGAATCACAGGGCAGAACCCTAAGGTTTTGAAGCAAATCTATGCCCTCTTCTGAGGATAACTATTCTCCTTTTGTGTCTTGGTTGAGACTTACTACCTAACCATGGGATAGTAGGTGAGCATGTAGCCTGAGCTTCACATCATGATTTGATGTTGGAGTATCCACCTCATCATAAACTTGAGCATGCACAGCAGCAATCTATCAATAGAAATAGTCTACAATTGACCTAACTTCTTGAGCAGGTCTGAAAGGTACAGCTAGACCATGAACATGTGGCTCATATTCTTTCAACACCAACCTCTGTTGCACCCTTTTCCTCAGTCAATACCTCTGGCCTGGGGTGTTTCTAACAACTAGCTGGCCAATAACAAATTAAGCCAGGTTTATAGACAGGTCTGTATGACATATTGGTTCCACCAGGAAGAACTGAGGTTTTCAGCAAAGGCAAAATAAAAAGTAGTGGGAGGTCATAACTTACAGAAACAAGGGCTTTAAGGTTTGAATCCACCTGCTGCCTGATCCACCATTACAATGAAAACAGAGCTGAACCATGAGTGAATACTTCTTTGCTAGGTAGTATGTGTTATCAGTAGATGGTACTGGAGGGATTTCTTTTCCTGGTTCTGGACAAAACTCTAGCAGTGCACACATCTTAGCAGTGGAGTATCACTGGGGTGGTACCTCCTGTGCTGGGCTTACCCTGCATGCCGTTGGATGACTTCACAAATTACCACAGGGATAACACCTCTTCAGGCATAGCTGCCTGGCAGTGGGTTTGCAGGTACCACAAATTTCATCCAGAGAGCCAAGGTTGTATCCTGAAATTATTTCTGGAAGTCAGCTTGAGGAAGCTGGAATTCAGCTTCAGATGGTGGCCACCTCTTATACTTCCTATGCCAGTATTGTTTAGAATTTTTTACTGCTTTGCAAATTTTTCTTAAAGTGTTACAGATAATATGCCCCATCACTCCAATCCACTCTAATAGTTAATATTTTATGCCAAACTTTCTCTGTTCATACTATGTGGCTTGTCTCCTGATTGTACTCTGGTGATACAGACACCATAATCGGAGAGAAGGACTTGAAGAAATATTGACTGATGAAAATCCAGACCACAGATTAACACCCAGCATATTTTAAAATAAAAAACTCTACAAGTTTAAGACAATAGAAAAAACACAATTCACAGAGGAAGTACAAATTAAGGACAGTAAGCAAGTAAATCATTTCATTCACCAGAGTATTAAAATTTAACTTTGCCAGTGTCAGATGGAAAAGATAGAAAACACACTGCTACTCTCGCTTGTAGGAACTGGAAGGCGATCTCAGTCTGTTAAAATTTTCAAAGTGTAAGCCCTATGATGCAGATTTCCACTTCTCTGCATTTACTCTAGAGATATGCACACATAAACAAGGGGGAAGGTGCTAAAATACTCTCTGCAGAAGTGTCAGTAAAAACTAAAAATTGCAAACCTACTATCCTTCAATAGACGCTTATGATACTCATACTACATATGCCAACCGATAATTTAAGAATTTGGTGGAGCTACATACACTAACTTGTAAAGATCTGCAAGTAGTGAGCAAAAGGAAGTTGCAGGAGGTTAAAATAAAAATCCACATTATGTATTTTCTAAGGTACATATATAGTACATTAAAAATGCTGGGGGAGGGGGGAGTTTCACACCAGACCAGTTCCAGTAATTACCTCTGCAGAGTAGATGGGGGGCAAGAAATGGAAGGGATTGGGGAATGGTCAAAGTCGAAATACTTAATGCTGAGTAGTTCAAGACTTTAAAATCCTCTTGAAAACAGAATAAAATAAAATCCTCATCTTGAACATTTTCTTCTGGCCAAAGTGAAGTAAGAAACTGTACTTACCCTCACACTGAAAAACTGGACAACACACACACACAAAGGTGGCTTTCAATACACTGGACTTTGAGCAAAGGACAGTGATTCTTGAAAGGGAACAATCAACCCAGCTTACTGCCTTGAATTTTTAAGCAACGTAGGGAGAGGACACTCAGACAGAGCCCAGTGGACTTCTTGAGTTGAGGAGATGGAGTTAAAGTCAAGGGAGCTGAAGGCAGCTGGAGTTCCCAGAGCAAAGGACCAGGGTGGAAAGCCACAGAAGAGGAACTCCGGAGATCTGCAAAGTAGTCTCAGCAAAATATTGGTCAGCACCTGCACAAGCTAACTACCCAAGGCTGGGAGAGCATTCCAGGAAAAAGTACGTGGGAGCCCACCCAAGGCTAGGAATGGAGCCTGTTCCCGCTATCCCGGACTAGAAAGCACCACAATCCAGGGACACTAGGTATGCAGAAGGGTCTTGCCTCAGAACTGGGGAACAATCAGCCCTAGGATAAATGCTGCTCTGTTCTCACCTAACAAAGCTTAACTGCAAGACCTAAAAGGATCAAACTGTTTTGTGTCCCAGAACAAAAACAACCAGCATCCAACAGATTAAAATTTACAACTTGCAATGCAAAGAAATAGGAAAAGTATGACCCATAATGAGCAAAAAGACCCAAACTGACCCAGTATTAGAATTAGCAGACATAGACATTTAAAAAAAACACCACTGTATGATCAAAAATTAAAGACTGAATATGTAGACATGGAAGATAGAAACCACGAAAAATGAACTGCTAAAAATGAAGACAGCTGAAATGCACACTGAATAAGACTAACATTAGATTTAGACTGTAGAATTAGTGAACTTGAAAACAGTAATCTGACACAAAAACAAAAAAAAATATTAAAAAATTAAACTGCATCCATCAGCATGGGGATCAACTTCTGGCAGCCCTCGTGTAATTGGATAATTCCTAACAAAGAAGGGAAAGATGGGGTCCCTGGGTGGCTCAGTTGGTTAAGCACCCCAGCTTCAGCTCAGGTCATGATCTCACAGTTTGTAAGTTCGAGCCCTGCATTGGGTTCTGTGCTGACAGCTCAGAGCCTGGAGCCTGTTTCAGATTCTGTGTCTCCCTCTCTTTGCCCCTCCCCCACTCACACTCTCTCTCAAAAATAAAAACATTAAAAAAAAAATTTTTTTTTAAAGGGAAGGACAGAAAAAAATACTTCAAGAAATAGTTGAAAAATGTCCAAATCTGATAAAAGTCATATATCCTATCCAAGACTCAACAAACCGCAAACACAAGAAATGATAGCACAGCACATCATAATCAAATTGCTCAAACCAGGGATAGAGGAAAAAAATCTTAAAAAGCAACAAAGGAAAACAAAGATATGTACAGAGTAACAGAAGATGAAGATGACCCATTTCTCAGAGAACAATGCAATTGAGAAGACAATGGACAAACATCATTAAAGTGCTGTAAACACTAAAGCACCACAAATTTCTAAAGCTCTGTCCACCGGTGAATGTGTATCTTAGCTACTGTCTGCTGGTATAACAATATATTGAGTACACAACCCATATTCAAACAGACTGATAAGGTAAATTCACTACCAGTAAACTCCATAATCAAAATGCAAAATAAACACTTAATAAGAAATTGAACAGATTGATTCAATAAACATGTAGATTTATTTTGAATCAGTTTGGTACATGATACAGGTTGGTTTTACAGTTTTTAATGAACTGAAATAGAAATTTCTAAATACAGCAGTGTCTGCCTGTGCAACAAATATCTGTAAGGTACAGTAAGGTGTTTTGATAGAACTACATCCACATGAACAAATCAGAAGAAAATCTGAAAAGGTTTCTATATACCTTCTGGATTTAAAAAAAAAAAACAACAAAATTTTAATGGCTCAAGATCGTAAATTGCTCAAGAAAGGGGGGAAAAGGCTGAGTTCTGTTGTAAGAGCTCTTCTTGCAAAATCTAACTGGTTTCATACTATGGTTTTGTCATTAGAGCAATAGTCAAAATTACAGAAGATGAGAAGGAGCCATTCAGCTACATTTTCACAAAAACTGCTGTATGGACATTAATGTGTAATAAGGTATTCATATCTACGTAAATGATAATTATACCACTGTAGCTAAAATTTGCCACTTTGGGAGGAATGGAAATTCTGTACAGTTTCAGATGAATCTTGGATCTTCTAGCACTCACTAAAAACTAACAGCCATGGCACCATAATAAAAGTCTTTGTGAGGTTCCTAGAATTACTAATGAATATTACTAATGAAAACACAAAAATGTGAGGTAAACCTACCTTTTCCCAAAAACCTTTGAAGCCAGAGATTTTAAACAATTAAGGCACTTGAAAAGATTAGGTGTATGTACAAATGTGCAAGTAAAACAAACTTTAGCTGTACCAGCAAGTAACAAAGAAACAGTAAATCTTCACTTTAAGATCCTTGAATATAATCTAAATGTAAGAATTTTGGCTAATTAAATGGACCAAAGCAACTTGTCATTTCCTACTACAAAATACTGAAAACCAAGTGCTAAATTCAGCCCCTACAGGCTAAAGAAACTAAAAACCTTTAATAACCTAGAAAAGCAAAAGCTTTTTTAAAACTAATGTAAACCTCTGAACTAATCCAATATGTCAAAGGCAGAGGAGAAGTATCCCTCCAAAACTGAAAAAAACTAGTGCTGCCTAAGAAAACTAAACAAAAAATTAAAGTATGCATGCTACTTATGCTATGGGAACAGAAACTAAGAAGAAAGGATGGGAGAGGAGAAAGCAGGAGTGAAAGAGAAAGAAAGAAAGAGGAGGCACAGTATGTCTGTCCAGGGCATTCATCATTAAAAATCTACAGTAATCCAGTCAGCTAAAACTCCTTAGATTTTCTAAAATCACACTGGTCAAATTTCTGGTCTCAAAACTTAAAATGATTGTCTCATTAAAGAGCTAGTAAATGACTCTAAACCAACTTTCTTCCTTCTTGCCTCAGAAAAAAAGTCACTTTTCAAGAAAGCTTGGTGAAAATCCTTCCATGGCACAACAGTGTTGAAGCACAAAGGAAAATATAATTAAACCAATTTTAGATTTATACTTTTTAACAGCCTAAGAAAAATGTTGGGAGGTTCAATATGTGAAGGTTTTCAGCTTTGTGGAATATCTAATTTTTGCTTCACTTGCTCGGGTCTGAAGTAAAATAGGATTTAGTTAAATACTAACAGTATGGTATCTACACGCAGGTTTACTACAGCTTGTCAACAGGTCATCAGGCCAACCTTCACCTTCCCTAATGTAAAAGAACAAATCACAAACATTTTAAGTTACAGTCTACCTTTCAGTCTGTCTTTTAAGGCACTGTTCTTTATTTTCTCAGTGATATAAGGTGCTTTACAAGGATGAACAATAACCTGCTATTCTTTAATGATTTGTATCCTTTCCATTCGTTCCTTTAAATCTGGAATGTAATTCCCTGTGTGGCATCTTATTTCTAATGTAGAAAAAATAACTGCTATCGAGCACAAAATTTTACTCTAAAGATACAGTTTACTCTAAGGATACTAAATTTATAGATTTATTCCACTTTTGAAAGGACAGCCAAAAGTCCGCCCGACTGATGCTCATTTGGCACATTCTTCTCAATTCTGGTCACTAGACTACATCCTGAGTTAGGATGAAAATAATGCAGCTTTCAGGCTTTAAAAGGACTAAATTTAAACTGCCAAAAGAGTCATGAGGTTGTCTGCGCAGGACAATGTTTTCCATCACTTACAGAGTTACATTTGGTATGTCAAGAAGAGAGAACATAATCCCACAGCAGCAGCCATTGAAAATAAAAGAAGACAGCCACAAGGATTCATGCAGAATATTTTAAATATTCCTGTTGAGCAAAATGATTTAAGTGATTTTTCTTCAAGGACGATGCTCCAAAACATCCTATACGCATCCTTTGAAAATTTAAAGATCCTGGAATAGCGTCTTCCACGTGGGACATCTTGAAAGATAATATTTTGGTTTCAGTGAGTTACACACCAGTCCTTGTTAATTTAATGGGTCTGTTTACAGAGTATGGTAGCTTCGTTCTTTCGATTTGCAGAATTTATAGAGAAAGAAAATTACAGCCTGCACACCCAAGACGAGGACAATTCCTCCAATGAAACTGGCTGCATCAAAGGTAGACTTCCGCCCAGGCTGTGACGTCGGAGTTAAAGTGGTATTAGTTGTACCTGTTAAACAAGAGGGGAAAAAAAACACTTCGTAAGTCTCAGGATCCTCTGTCGTAATTTCAAGACCCACCGGAGCTACTTTGCCATGTGTTCAATTCTATAAAGCATTGGCTCTTGAGTCAAGTCTTTACAGCCAGAATTTATCCCTAATTGAGGGAGACAATCATTATCAATCCCATTCACTCCATCCAGCAATTATCAAGTGCTCAATGCTACCATACAAATTCAAATATGAAGATAATAGCAAAAGATTCTACTGGTACATAAATTATGCCCTGGGAACATGTCACTTTAAAAATGTGCAATTTCTTCAGACTACATATATTTTTAGTTAAGTGTTAGAGTAAATATTAATATTTGATATGGTAAATAATATTCAAAATTCATAAACTTTTGAATCTTACTAACTATATAAGGTTAAGTAAACATTTGGTTGCAATTCCTCAAATCACAAAAACCACCTTAAGTATCTGCAATTTATAATTCCAACAAGCAAAAAACCTTACTATTAAATCTTTTTTTAAAATGTTTTATTTATTTCAGAGAGAGAGAATGAGCAAGAGAGTGAGTGAGAGAGCCCGACGCGTGGCTCGTACCCACGAACTGTGAGATCACGACCTGAGCCAATGTCAGAGGCTTAACCGACTGAGCCACCCAGGTGCTCCTATTAAATCTTGCTCTGCAAATTTTATGAGTATTAGCAAACCATAAGAAAAAAAGCAAAAAAAGTTTGAATTCTTTTTCCAAAGAGTAAAATATTTCAAGAGAAAATATAAATTTCTTTTCAAAGAGTAAAACGTTTCAAGTAGAGCACCATTGATTTTAATAAAAAGCAGCTTCATATTTAAAATAAATTTTTTTTTCCTTAAATAGAATATCAAATAAACACCAGTTATGGTGGCTGTAGAATAAGCTGGCCACTTTAAAGTTAATTACGACTGTTCTGTATTTCTTCCTGTGAAGCCAAAATGGCTTCCTTGAAACCAAGAGAAAGGTAGCTTAAGAATAAGCCAAAAGAATTTTAAAAACCCATAAAAGAACACTATTTTAAATACAGAGAGGAGGATTCATAACCAGCAATGTTCTGTGGCATAACCTGAGTAAGATTTCATTTACAATACATCAAATCAACTAATTAATAAAGTTACTCTTCAGATGCACTTTTAAGAATTATTATCTTCACTCTAATTGCCATGACCCAACATAGCACACAACTAATCAGTATTTAATTTGTAAGTTATAAAAAACTAGATCTCGCCTACAAGGTGTACTAAAAGGGTTTTGGAGAAACACTATCACATTTAACTGTCACATGTCATGCCTACATATTAAAAAACAAGACTCTCAGCAAATCTACCATTACTGCTCTAACAGCCTACTGTCTCAGTCCTCCAAAATGTACGAGATGAGCTTTACCTCAGAACCATTTATGAATAAAACTGGAAAATGGTGGCAGAAGTAGTAAAAGGCAATGTTGCACACACATCCTACCTCACTTAAAAAACACCTCAATTACCTGATGTAGTAGCTGTGGTGGTAGTTGTAGAAGAGGAAGGCAGAGTTGTGGTTTTAGCTGGAATGTAAACAAAACTTTTTAAAAACCTCAATTTCCAAACCTCTGAATATCTAACAATTTGTCTTTTAAAAATAATGCTACCAACTAGACATGGTTTCCATTTTATAAAGAATAAAGCCAAGCTCCAGTTAATGGTTCACTAACTTATCTACACAGCCAGAATACTAGCCTTTAAATGCTTCTGAAAACATCAATCATAAAATTCTATGTTAACATCTATGTACATGGTTAACTATGAAATCTATGTATACATCTGGATAAATTCACAAAAAAACAACAAAAGGGCAAGAATTACTGTTTAATTGAAGGACTATATAGGTTTTTGTTTTTATAAATAACCTTTTTCTATAATAAGAACTTTAACTTAAAAAGTCATGGTAATAAACAAGTGCAACTCAGTATTTCTCAAGTAGGTATCATGATAGGCTTATCTTCTTTATTTCAAGGGGCTGGTAAACTTTTCTTAAAGGGGCAGACAGTAAATATTTTAGGTTCTGTACACTGTGTTGTGCAAAAGTAGCCAAGGACACCATGCAAATCAATAGGCATGGTTCTGTTCCAAAAAATTTTATTTATAAAAGAGCAGGTCCTCAGGGGCCAAAGACCCAATTTAAATTATAAGAGCCTGGGGTAAGCTCTAGTCTACCATACTACATGAATTCCAATAATTTATTTATCTGAAAATACCTGTAAAGAAATGAATGCTTGTGAGAATTAATTTGAATGTAAACACATTTTAGGAACTAAAGGAATGTATTAACAGACCTCTGTTAGCACTAATATTACTAATAGATTCTAATAAAAGATATGTTAAAAATACTAATGGGATATTCTCATACATGTTTGTATCTTTTCTCTCACTATGAGCACTGCTGCACACGTTTTACCTACCCTGCTCTTGGATGGACAATTAGGTCACCTCTCATTTCTCCATACTATAAACATCTTGCAGGGAAATATTTGATCTCATCTCTGATAGGACTGATTATAGAGAATTCCTAGATTAAAGGGTATGATTATTTTCAGACTTTTAATCCTTTAAAAGTTTCTATTGCTTATAAATCCTGTGTAACACACAAAATAACACTTTACAAATTAAACATATATTCCTTTCAATCTTATGACATGATCACTAAACTTTGTCTGACAATAGATGGTAGAGAAAGTTAAGTTTACAAATTTGCTATCTGATTCTCATGAACAGCCCTCTGAACATGGCACAAACTAATTCTTTTTTGTAAACAGGCAAAAGATTCACACACTTTTACTTTTTTTGATTGAAGTAGGGAATATACCTCTAATGACCTATAGTTCATTAAAAAAAAATAATTCAGCAGATATAAAAGTCGCTACTGGTGATGAAAAATTTAGAATACAGTAAATTAAGTAATCTCATCATTCAGAGTAATATGTTGCTTCCAGCCAGCCACTTCTCTTAGGCCATGTATGTAACAAAAAAAATAAAAAATGTGCTAGAACTTAAGTAGTATGTCTTCCACTTAATATATTGTGAATACTCCCACCAAATTCGACAAAATTTAGTCATTCTGTTGTGAGATACTATTTACAAACATTCATATTTATTATATTTTTATGTCCTGGCAGAAGACTATTATAATTAACCCCACTGAACACCTTTCTACATAAATCAGATTGCCTTTGAATCATTTCTTTAATAATCACTTAATTTCTCACTTGCTCTCTTTCCACAGTAGGTATGAAGAGACCATGGAAAGGTCTGTTTTCCAGCCACTAACTGCCATTTGATTGGTGCAGGTTCTGTAAGCAAGCCTGGCTTCTTTCCACTTTACAGAACCCAAAGAGAGAAAACAAGGAGGACTCCATGGTAGTTCGCTGGAGAACCCAGTGCAGAGCAAACATGAAAACTACATCAAGATCCATGGAGAAGAAATTAAAAGTGAACCCACAATGGTTTTATAGAAATTGTTTCCCCCCTCCAGCTTCTGGTTCACATCCCACCTTTGAGAAACTAATTTGCCCTCAACATCTCTGCTTTCATCAGTCTTTAATATCCTCCTAGTCCGTGACTTCTTTTTTTTTTTTTTTTTTAAATTTTTTTTTAATGTTTTATTTTATTTCTAGGAGAGAGAGAGACAGACAGCGTGAGCAGAGGAGGGTCAGAGAGAGAGGGAGTCACAGACTGAAACAGGCTCCAGGCTCTGAGCTGGCAGTCAGCACAGAGCCCGACGCGGGGCTCGAACCCACGAACTGCGAGATCATGACCCAAGCGAAAGTCGGACGCTTAACCGACTAAGCCACCCAGGCGCCCCCTTAGTCCGTGACTTCTAATGGGTGCTACTACTGAGTGCTCTCTGAAAGGCCAGCGAAATCTGCAGATGTCTAGGGCATGAGTATTTCCACTGTAATTCAACTACCAACATGGTATCACTAAACGTGTAGCTAGGGAAGAGGCTATGCACAGACGGCCGGCAAAACCTGGTAACAAGCCAGCTTACCGAAGTCTTTCAAAATGAGTTCCGGTCCTTGTTAAATTGGACCACTTTTTCCTCTGAAAAACTATACCTAAAACATAGTTTCTTGAACACACTTCTCTGCCAGTCTCTACTCAGTTTTCTCTCCAGTCCTCTTTTTCTCCTCAACTCACACACATTACTGTTCTGTAGAGTTTCGTTCTGAACTCTACAGCTAGTCTCGACAAGCTGCTCCTGTGGACACTACTGCTGCCTACTGATCAACTTAACCTGTACTGCTGGCGAAGAGCTGCGGCCATCACCTCCATCAAGTTCTATCCCTTCTACTTCCTAAGTCTATTTGCATACGTCTGCAACTCTTCCCCTAGGAGTTCCCCAGAATTCCCTAATCTCCATGTGTTCTCTCGTCTCCTACCAACCTGGTTCTTGACTGTTGACTGTCCAGCTCAACTGTTCCTCACTGTGTACTCCAAATGCAACTGCCTCATCTCATTACACTCTTTCACATCTCCTTCACTACGTATGCCATGTTATTCCACATACACACCTTCCTACGAGCCTCTCACCACACAGGGCTTACTTACCTTTTTCACAGTTCCTACGACAGACAGAATGCTGTCTTAACTTCTGTCTCCAATCCCTATCATCTAGCCTAGTACTTTGCTGGAGTAGACTTTTTTTTAAATGATTTACTCCTTCTATCACTTTGGTCAAGATTTTTAAAAGGAGAAATTATTTAACTCTGTTGAAGGTGTAGTGAAAAACTTTCCAGTTGTTTAGGCTGAAAAGCCTGTCTTTCTGGAAAGCAATCAGTATTTAAAGCCTTAAAATAATTCTATCCTCTGATCTAGGAATGCTGTTTGAATCAATCCTATCAGAGATAACAGCAAATACTTCCCTGTCAGACATCCACTGCATGGAGAACATGGAGAACAACAGATGACCTAACTATCCAACCAAGTGCAGGATGGTTAAAGCGCATACGACAATGTTTAAGAGGAAAACCAAATTCAAACATGTATAAACACATTATCCAATTTCACAGTAAGTGTATTTATTTAGACATACACACAGAAGAGACTGGAGTAACTTTTATCACTGAAAACATTTTGGTGTACCTCTGGATGATGGAAATTATAGGGAATTTTAATTTCCTTGAGGCTTCTGTATTTTCCAAGATTTCCACAAAAAGCAGTTTGTGAACTCAATGTCCAAAGATACAGCAAATCCCCCCACGTTCAATGAATGTGAAACACTGGAGTTAACGTGTCACTGTCACAGACAATTCATACGTAATGTAATTATGGTCCGAGACTAAATATATCTACTAATTTTTTAAATTATACTAACAACTTTTAAGTACTTAATTACTAAAAAGTTGTCCACTAGAAGGCCTTACAAGTCCTGAAGAAGAGGAAAGAGTTAATTTTCTTGTATTACCTGTAGAATTGGTTGGCATCGGAGTCGGCTCAGGTTCTATTTAAAACAAACAAACATTAAGTCCAAGCAATCTCAAATATCACAATCTATTACACTATTTTCCAAACTGTAGTCATTTGAATACCATTTTTATAATTTTTGCATTTCAGTACCACCTTGTGGAGGAGACTGACAGCTGCTCAATATTCATCTCCCCTTCTTTAGAAATAGAAGCACCAATCGAAGGTTGACACTTTCCTCCCCTGAGGAAAGACACATTTTTTAGCCTCCCCTGCAGCTAGATAGCTAAGTGTAACTTCTAGAAAGCTTCTGTAAGGTAGATGTGGGCCTCTCTCTTTCTTCTTCCTGCTGGCAGGAAGACTAATAACTGATGGCTGGAAAAGGAGCACTCACCTTGGAGAGTAAGGTCAAAGATATTCTTGAGGAATGACAATAAACAGCCTGAGTTCCTAATGGCTGTAGAGCTGCTACTCTAGCCCCCTAGATGCACCTGAGCCCAGACTTCCTTTACATACAAGTGAAGTCAGTCTGTCTGCTGCTTAAACCACTCTAATTTGGGGTTTCATACCTTTTATAGCCCGAACTAACTCTGATACATCATCAAATAAGTAGAATTACTTATTCAATTTTTCTCTAAACTATTACCTTTTAAATGTTTTACTTGGGGCACCTGGGTGGCTCAGTCAGTTAAGCATCTGACTCTTGATCTCAGCTGAGGTCATGATCTCACAGTTGGTGGGACTAAGCCCCTTGTCGGCTCAGCGATAACAGCTCAGAGCCTGCTTGGTCTTCTCTCTCTGTTCTCCACCCACCCCCCAACCCCCGACTCCCCACCACCCCTACCACCGGCATGCACTCACTCTCTCAAAATAAACAAGCATTAAAAAAATGTTTCACTTAATCTTGTTTCTAGGAAGTATTACCATGAAGTCACAGGTCTGACAGTTATTAGTGTATTCTAACACATATCAAAAGAGATACTAAAGATGTTTGCTCTTTCACCACCTAAACTATACCATATTCACTGTACATAAGGGATAATGGGCCTCACACTAATGAAATTCTCAGTCACAAAGGTCAAGTTTGAATGGAAAATGCCTACTAAAAGTACACTGTTACAGGTAGTCATTCAAGGTTACTGACACATTCCAGAAACCTCTTTTGCTCTATTTAATTATTATCTATGCACCAAATTACAAACTGACTTCCCTATCCATTTGTAATCTTGTTAGAAAAAATCAGTTGTTTCATCTAGGAATTTAAACTATTTCCTGAGACTGACACTGGATACTGAAATAAGGCTTCCAGAGGCAAAGATCTTCCTCACCTCTCTGGCCACTTTCCCCGGTGGCCAATTGAATACTTACCAGAACAGAATTTTGTGCCATTCACCACCTGGCAATCACTAACTGTTGAATTCTGGGAACAGTAGCTTTTGTCTGTTATGGAGAAGGAAAGACACAGAGCACCAATCACTTGCTTATATTATCTGTGACTTTGTTACTAAGCTCCAGAATTGCTTCCAAAAATCAAACGCAGGCATAAATACTTAAGTCCACACACTGACAAAATAACTTACTTTCTTTTCCCCACTGTTTGGGAAGTATTACATCGGATCCCTCCAAATATTCTTCTAAACTCCTTATAAACATACTGAACAGATGAATCAGAAAACATTTAGATCACAGAACTGTGGCATGACTACTATGCAGGGAAGGTTGCTAGAATCCACAAAGAGGGCTGGGTCAGTAGGGAGAAATGGTCAAGATCTTTAATAAAGGCTTAGTCACCACAGGAGATGCCCGGCTAGCAGCAGTAGGACCTCTGTTCCAGATCTCTGCTTTGGTCAGCTACACTTTCTAAAACTGCTTTCCTAGATGGTCTGACTTGTAGCAAGAGTAAGGGAGACCTTTCCCCAGCATATGCTATAGTAGGGCTTTCAAGCCGCCAAAGCAGGCCAAGTCCCAAGGAGGAGAGGGCGTGCTCTTAAATTCCATTTCATGACTTTAAAAAAAAGTGACTCTTAACCAACAAAAAATTAATTTTACTCCAAATTAAGTTAATGCCTTAATTTTAAAAGAAGTTTTTCAACTTTGTTATGTAGTGATACAATATCCACAAATCTCACATTTTTTTAACAAAGAAGCTTAACATATAGTTGTAGCTTTTTCTTTATATATACATGTAAACCAGGTAAGACTATTTTACTGACAAGAAAAAAATGCAACCACCTTACATTAAAAAAACAGAACATGATATAATTCCATGGTCCTAACAAAAGCCTTATTGGCATTTCAAAGTTATCTTCAAGTAGCTCTTTATCCCTCAAATTAAAGATTACTCTCTTCCCATCTCATTCTTCTCCCATATTTAAGTATCCAATTTTATAAGTGACAGAAAATAAATGCCTCCTTTTTCTAGGAAACGATTTTCAGGGAAAAATTTCACAACTTTCTTTCACTGCTAATTTCAGTGCACCTATACCATTCCATCTTGCAAAGTTTTAAAATCTCTCTTCCCATGGGGCACCCGGGTGGCTCAGTCGGTTAAGCATCACACTCACGATGGCTCACTTCATGATCTCAAGGTTCTGGAGTTTAAGAACATTAGCACACAGGCTGTTTGGGTCTGTGTGTCTCTCTCTCTCTCTCTCTCTCTCCCCCTCTCCTCCTCCCTCCCTCGCCCACGTGATCACACACGGTCTCTCTCAAAATAAATAAACTAAAAATAAATAAATAAGTAAAAACTACTGAACTTTAATTATCAGTCTAAGGGATTAAAGGTGTGGAGACAGAATGGGAGACCAGAGTGTTTAGGGGAAATGTGAAGCAATAGGCACTTTAATGGAAAAGTATTTGACTTGCAAAATAAGTGGTACACACTATACCAAATTTTCTACATAATTTTCAAATGTTCAGGAATGCACTGTAGAATACCTTAAAATGTTAAAACAAAAAAGTTTGCATTCTCAAAACTAAAGCAATCCCAAGACTTCTTACCTTTACATTCTATCCAAAAGCAGGGAGCAGCATCAAGGCTAGCGTTAAAACAGGACACACAGCTATTGCGGTTTTCACAGATATCTGGTAGAGAGGGGCATAGGAAACCAATCAATTGATAACTCATTTTGAGTTTGTACCCACCTACCTTTTTTACACAAAAGTGAGCATTACATATGGTAGTAACCTTACTAATTCAGAGAAATGGGGAAACTTTATAACCCACTGATAGATGAAATGGATTAAAAAGTGCTATATTATTTTGCAGGTTTTTTTAACCATAAAAAAGGAAATCCTGCCATACACTCGACATGGATAAATCTTATGGACGTTATGTGAAATCAGACATTCAAAAAAGGACAAATACTGCATGATTACCCCTAATAAAGTATCTAACGTAGTCAAAGTCCGAAGCAGAAAGTAGAATGATGGCTGCCAGGGCTGTGGGAGGGGAAATGGAGATCTGCTGTTCAAGCAGGGTACAGTTTCAAGTAGGATGAAAAGTTCTAGAGCTCTCTGTAGAACACTGTCCTTACAGTTAATAATGTACTGTACACTTAAAACTTTGGTTGGTAGAGTTCAGGTTACACGTCTGTTGTTTTTTCTTAACCAAACACACACAAATACTTCATAAACGGGCTTAATAAAAATTTCCAAATATTATAAATGACTTGTGAAGCTGAAGTAAACTCGAGAGAAAGGGGAGGGGAAAAAAACCCCACAAGCTAGTGAGAAGGTTCAGTACCTATCTAGACAACCCTTTTTTTTTTTTTTTTTTTTTTTTACAGGTCAGCTATTTCACAGATGCTCAGACTTTCTTGAGCCATTTAAAAATATCCTTAAAAAATAAAATTAGGAAAAAAGACTATGTTATAAAGCCAACACTACACACAGGGAAATCACTGCCCTAACACATCAGCTGTGACACTAGAATTTTTAACAGTAATAAAGACTTGTTACAGGCTGAACCCAAGCTCCTGATGATGCCCACTCTGAAAACCTCAGAGATTTGTAACTCATGAACGACCTGCTCCTTCCAGGGTCCTCCATGAATGGAGGGTAAGAAACAAGATCTGGAAGGAGCTACATCCATGTACACATAATTTAACAAGTTAGCAGGGGTTTTGTCCATAATTTAAGCCAAATGACCAAAAGACTTTAGGATAGGGCTCTCTCCATTTTCCTGGAAGCTACAGGCCTCCAAAAACATTCATATTTGCTTTCCCCGTGCCAAAAAAACCCCCAAAAAACAAAAAAACAGTTCTGCACAGAGGCAATGCATTTCAATATTTTATCACTAGTATTCATCAGAGACTGGGACATATATAATACCCTGAATAAGGGGCTCACAAAGTAGAAAATAAATTCTGTAGAGGCCTGTATACTGATAAAAAAAAAAAAAAAAAGCTAGTTGTCTAAAATCTTTTGTGCCTGATGATTAATGTTTGAATAGCATAGTCAATGTTATCTACAATGAACCAAACTTGCTACCTTTCATTTTAGATTGAAGCTGATCCAACTCCGATTTACAGAAAACAAAACACCTCCTTTGCACAACTTTCAATTACAAAAAGGCAATTAACTTGGGTACCTCCAGACTTCTCTTGGAAAAATACACACAACACTCCAAAACTACAGTTCTGGGAAGAAACTAGCAAATAGTCAAGAGACAAAACATATTGTGCTCTATCATCTTAAGAACAGTGCAGTTGGAATATCCAGTATTGTACTGCGATTTACTTTACTCATTTAACAATTTTTGAACTTTACTATTACATTTAATTAAACTTTTATATAACAAGAAAACCAAGGGAAGACACCGCAGAATAGTATGATCAGCTTGAGAAAGAAAAAGAAAAAGCCAAGGTAAGTATCTTGACATTTCACAGCAATTCTTTAGTCAAGACGCCAGTTACTCCTTACTCAATATTAACTACGATAAACAACTACACTAAACTGCAGGTTTTAAATATCTAGGCCCCTTCACCTTTTTACCTTGAACTTATCTTCCCCTCCCTTTTGTTTTGTCAAGGCATTGCCTATTCAACGAACGCCTCAACCGGTACCCAAATCGACTGCAGAGCTTAACAAGGGTTGTGTTCTCGATGGGGTTTTAAGAAATCAACAGACCTGGGTTCCAATCCCAGCTTCACAATAAACTAAACTTACGCTCTTGGCAGAGTTACTTTAACTCCCATCGTCCTCTTAGATTTCACTATCTATCTTGTAGTTTAGCCTTAAATACCCAAAAAGGATATGTGAAGCATTGGGTACACGAATGGGTACTTTTTTCCTTTGCATATAGCAAGACGTGTAAAGTTTTAATTACTCGAATCAAATCTGGGCAAATCTCGAATATATCCCACACCTATCCGCAAAATCAATACAGTTAGATCCCAGGCAACTTATTTTCTCAGACCGAAGTCGGAGACACTAGCTACATTAACGTCTTCAGTTTCTTTCCCTCTTTCTCCAACTTCCGGAGAAGCCTCCTCTCGGAGACAGGACCTAGGTGGGCAAACGATTAATCCCAAAGAGAGGGGGTTCAACCTCATCGCCAACTTTGGAGGCGAGTCGCCTCGCCCCACGATCAACCCCACTGCCGCCACCGCGGGAGGAAGCCACGTCCCCTCTTCGAGCGAGAAGTGAGACTGGGGATTACGAGGCACTTTTTAAAAGCATGTCGGCGTTGGACACTTCGGGGTGGCAAAGGCCACGGAGGCTCGGCCGCCCTTTCTCCCCGGGGCGCTCCCCCACCCCCGCCAGCCCGAGCCTGGCCCCGGCTGGACTCGGACGGGCCGCCATGTTGCTGGAGCGCGGCCCTCGCGGGCCCCGCGCGCACCGCGGGCAGGGCAGGCGGCTCGGCAGGGCGGCGGGCGTGCCAGCGCAGGAAGCCCGTTGGGCCGGCGCCCACCTTGTGCTGGAATGGTGACCGGCGTTACTGTCAGCGACGTCGGAACTATCTTGGTGGTCGCTAAAGTCGTAGCTGTAGTCGTGTTCGGGTCCGGGGAGGGGCTCTGAGCCGCGGTGAGTACACAGAGCGCGGCCAGGCAGGCGGCGGCCCACGGCAGCTGGCGGGAGAGCCCCGACATCACGTCCTCCGCGCTGATGTTCCGGCGAAAGCTGCGGCGCACTCCGCTCCGTCAGTCCCTCTGTCCCCTGCGGCACCGCCTCGGAGAGTCTGCCCCCCGCGAGAACGCGCCGGGGTCACGTGAGGGCCCCCAGGCCACGGCGTGCGGGGGCGAGGCGGAGCGGGGGCGGGCCGCGGACGATACCAACTGGAATCCTACGGGAGGGGAAACAGGGGCACGGAGAGGAAATCGAGGGACGCTGTCCTTCAGAGCGACTGAAATATAGCGAAAAAGTTCGGCAGATGCAGTTAACTACTTCTTTTGCCCTCAGGTTACCACCAGGACGCAGCTGGGCTGTTCCAGTTCCTGCAGTAGACTAAGCGCTCCGACCCTGGCTTGAATGGAACAACCTACATGAGGTGGCGCTCGGCGTCCACCCGAGCGACCAGCGAGGCTGTAAATCCGTGATCCCACGTGACTTTCTGGGCCTCGATTCCGTGACCTGTGTCCCCCGGGCGTTGGTTTCCGTTGGGTGCACTTAGGAACGGGACGTGAATTAAGTTTGCGGTGTGTTCCCTCATTCCGAGGGTGCTTCAACAGAACTTTAGTGGGACCCGCGCTTCTTTCCTTTGAAAATTGGTTTTTCTGAAAGTAACCCCGTGTTGGGATCCCCCAGGGAAATGAAGAAACCACGTGGTTGAGTTTCTGCTCTGCCGCCCACCTAGGGTGAGCGGCTAAAACACCGAAAGCAGCCTCCTGCCTTCGAGCCAGAGCCGAGCACCGTCTACCTCTTTCACACTTGCCCAACCTGCCTTTTACGAATTTTTTTTATTCCGGCCTTTGGTTGCGGAAGCCAGTCAACGCCACCACTACACAGAGAGTCAAAGACAAGCTGGGTTAGAAATGCATCTGGTCCATTCCCACCCCACTTTACAGGTGAGGAAACTGAGACTCAGAAAAAGTGACTTGACTGGAACATGGTGCTTGACAACAGGGCTGAATTTCGAAATGCCTGTTAACAGTCTGTCACTGCTCAGGCTTTTAGAAGGGTGAGCGCCATCTGATGCCCAGTCTCACAAAATACTCACAATTGCAGCTATGCTTATATTGAATAGTAAAAAAATTGGGCTATAAAAGGTATTTTTAATGCAATCTGCTTTCAGTTATTTGCGTTTATCGTGCAAGTTTCATTATGCACATTTACTCTAATAAAATAACACGAACATTATTTGCTTTGTTGAGATCTGCCTTGCTATGAAAAAACAAAAAAGCTGACTCCATAAACGTTTTACCATTTTTTCCCCCAACTTAAAATCTTCACAACTTTCCAGAATCTAACCAGTGGGACTCGTTTGTACCCTTGTGACTATGAACATTTGTTCTATTAATTACACTAGTTGAAGATTTGCTTGGATGTAAGAACTTGACAATGGTTGAGCCAATGAGGGTGCAGCCAAGTACGTAAATGCGGTCCCAATTATTGGCTTTTTTAGTGAACCGTTTGCTCTTCCCACAGTATGTGTATTGCACGTGACCATCTGACACGCAGACGATGGCAGGCACTAGTAAACTTTTTTTTTTAGGTTAAAAATATAATAAAGTTCTGTTTTCTTCCTGTATTCCAGTGGATCAACTTGTTTACATTCTAGGATAGGCTGAACACACCCCATTGTGGAGACCATTGTTTTACAATTTGTCATCTAGTTGTTCAACTCTAGGCTTCAGATTTTTGATAAGAGAACATTTCACTCTTGTTTTAAGACTAGAAAATCATTGGCTTATTTTATTTTACATGGTATCTGTTAAGCTAGCTCAAGAACGGTTTCCAGGGTCATTTCAATGTTCCATAGCAAGGACTGGCGTTTGTAACAGTTTTTTGTTTAAGTTTATTTTTATAGAGAGAGTGTGTGTGTGTGCTAGTATGGGGGAGAGAGAGAAAGGGAGAGAATCCCAAAGAGGCTCCGCACTGTCAGCAGAAAACCCCAGGCAGAGAGAAGCCGGTGAGATCGTGACCTGAGCCGAAATCAAGAGTTAAGTTTCTCAACCAACTGAGCCAGCCAGGTGCCCTCCTAGCCCAGTTTTAAATATATGTTTAATCATATATTAAACATTGTAATATTTAAATAAGTTTCAGCAAAGATTTAATAAATCAAAGATTAGTAGTAAGCTAAAATCGTAGATTCACATTCTTAATGTTAACACTGTGATTAGGGTTGATAAAATACTAGAGATCCTGTCATTAGGAGGCTCTCCACTTTGGCTATGTATATTTCCCATAACTATCCCCAGGTGATTACATTTGAGAGCAGTTGTTCTTAATCTTGGCTGAACATAGGAATCACCTGGGAAGTTTTGGAAATTCCTGATGCCAATTTAATTAGTCTGGAAAAATGCCCGAGCATCAGGAGTTTAAAAGCTCTCCAGGTATTTTTAATCTGCAACTTAGGTTGGGGTGCCTGGGTGGCACAGTTGGTTAAGCAGCAGACTTTGGCTCAGGTCATGATCTTGTGGTTCATGGGTTCAAGCCCCCTGTTGGGCTCTGTGCTGATAGCTTAGAGCAGGGAGCCTACTTGGGATTCTATGTCTCCCTCTCTGTCTGCTCCTCCCCTTCTCTCTCTCTCTCTCTCTCTCTCAAAAGTAAACATTAAAAAAAATCTGCAACTTAGATTGAAAACCACAGCTTTACTCTTACTTCTGGAAGTGTGGTTCATAAACCAGTGTACTCATACCTCCTAAAAATTTGTTAGAGATGCAAAATCTCAGGCCTCATCTCAGACCTCCTGAATGATAATCTTCATTTTTTTAGGATCCATATGTACATATGTTTTAAAGTTTGAGAAGACTGCTTTACATTATAACCTGTGGAGAACCATTCTAGCCTTCTAAATTGCTATAGTTCCTAATAGTGAATCATCTACAAGAGGACATTCAGCAAAACATTCTGTAAAGCTTTTATTTTTTTACAAATAAATATAAGGTCAGGGCACAAACACACACAAAAAAAAACCCTCTTGGATGTGGGTTCTGTCTAGACTGGCACCCGAGACGTTTTTATTTTTATTTTTATTCTGCTTCACACCCTGCTCTGCTAGAGTTTGTTCCATTATGTCTTAGTCCTTTCGGAAACAGAAGGAATCCTTTTTTCTAACATTCTGTAGGAACACCCCCAGTTCAAGCTAAACCACACTCCAGGAGGCTCTCTGATACCCTGCACTAGCTACTGCTTCCTCTGTGCCCAGGGATTCATTGTGTTCCTCCTGATCCTGTCTTGGAGACCTGTTTTCAGCCAGAACATGTCCATTTCTCCCAGATGCACATTCTGGCTGTTAAAATTTCAAGTGATTTTTGTACTGACTGCTAAAGGGGCACTGCCCTGAGCAGCCCAAGTGTCCCAGTCCCCCCTCACCCCAAGATGCCTCTGTCTCTTTCTGCTCCTGCAGGGGGAGGCCTGAGGTCCAGTCCAGCAGGAGCTCGAGGACCCTGAATCAGGGTCACTGTCCCTTACGATCGGGCAGTGCTGGCATCCCTCTCTGCTACCATGATGAAATCAAAGTTTCTCCTCACGTCAAAGTTTCTCCTCACGTCATTTTTCCTCATTCTGTGGTCACATTTTGTATTTTGTAACTTTTTCTTCCACATACCTGCATGGCCCAAGTCTCGTGGATCTAGGTCTTTAATATACCCTAGTGGTTCTCAACGTGTAGTCTCCAGCAGCGTCAGCCTCATTTGGAACATGATAAAAACAAACGTTCTCTGGCCCGCTCCAGACCCACTGAATCAGAAATGGGGGTGAGGCTCAGGAACCTGTGTTTTGTTGATAGGCTCAAGCATTTCCTATTCATCCTAAAGTAAAAGGACCTCTATGACCTACCACATTTTCAAAGCCCTCTAATCAGTACCACACTTTGTACTTTATGTTGTATATGTTACTATTTGTTACAGAGGTTTTGTATGGTATATAAAATTTATTTGAGATATGGCCTGACTAGATTGGCCAACTTGAGATCCCATTTTAAGGAGGATAGTAGATAGTATAATTAGTATGGTACTTTAAAAAATGAGTTTCCATAAGGGGGAGCATATTACTAGGTGTGATGGAGATCCATCTTAATTTTGAATATATACCTTTGAATAAATTCAATTGAAAATGAACGTGATATTAGGGCTAAGAGCTAAGACTGAGCATAAGAGGGAGTTGATGTTTCTTGAAATGATGATGATGATGATATTCTTTGTCAGTGGCACCTTGACTGGTTTTTGCAGGTTAACATTCCAGAGGGAAACTAATTTTTATTGAATAGCTACTATTTGTCAAGCATCAGCAGAAGTGGCTTCACATGTTATCTCAATTAACCCTCAACCCATTGTGAACTAATGAAATCGAAACCCAAAAGTTAATAGCATTATTATTGATTTTATAAATTTAGTCAGAGAATCACTAAAGTTTTAGAGGCAAAGGGAGCAAACAGCTTCTTTACTTCTCTTTTTCCTACAAATGAGGAAAGTGAAAGCCTATGTAATTTGATTGCCACATTGGTAGGCAACTGGGACTAAAACACTCCTAATTTAAGATATGTATAAAATGCAGAAACTCAGAATATGGAACTGAGGTTGCCAGACTATTCATTCATTAACAAATAACAGGCATGGTTTGCAGTTGGGGCAAACGAATTCTTTAGATAGAATTTTTATTTTTTTATTTTGTATTTTATTTGTTTTTAAAAAATGTTATTTAAATCCAAGCTAGTTAACATATAGTGAGTATTGGTTTCAGAAGTAGAACAGTGATTCATCAGTCACATACAAAACCCAGTGCTCATCCCAGCAAGTGCCCTCCTTAATGCCCTCCCCCGTTTAGCCCATCCCCCCACTTGCCTCCCCTCCAGCAACCCTCAGTTTGTTCTCTGTATTTAAGAGTCTCTCATAGTTTGCCTCCCTCTCTGTTTCTATCTTCTTTTTTCTTCCTTTCCCCATGTTCATCAGTTTTGTTTCTTAAATTCCACATGAGTGAAATCATATGATATTTATCTTTCTCTGACTTATTTCGCTTAGCATAATGCATCTTGTTTCCATCCATGTTGTTGCAAATGGCAAGATTTCACTCTCTTTGATTGTCAAGTAATATTCCTGTGTGTGCACATGTGTACTTGTGCATGCGTGCGCACCACTTCTTTATCCATTCATCAGTTGATGGACATTTGGGCTCTTAACATAATTTGGGTATTGTTGAGAGAGCTGCTGTAAACATTTGGGTACATGTTCCCATATGAATCAGCATTTTTGTATCCTTTGGATAAATACCTAGTAGTGCAATTGCTGAATCATAGGGTAGTTCTATTTTTAATTTTTTGAGGAACCTCCATACTGTTCTCCAGAGTGGCTGCACCAGTTTGCATTCCTACCAGCAGTGCAAAAGGGTTCTCTTTTCTCCACTCCTCACCAACATCTGTTGTTGCCTGAATTGTTCATTTTAGGCATTCTGACCGGTGCGAGATGGTAGATAGAATTTTACATGTTTATCTCAAATCTTCCAAAATAAGAAAAATGTCCAGATACCACACTCCCCTTATTAACATGGCTTAGTGTTAAGATACAGCATATGTGTTAGACTTTGCCATGTCAACAATTAAGGCAAGGTCACAAAATTAACATTTTGTATATAAATCCTCAGAATGCCTTTACTCTCTTGTTTGTAGACATGGAAGAATATAGAATTCTTTCTGTGTAATCAAAAGGAGAGTCTTTCAGTTTTTGTTAAGTCAAAGACTTATCATTTGTAGTTAATTGGGATAAGCTTTGAGTCCTTAAATCAGTTTCACCAAATGACATGGCCAAACATACACATCATTCTAATACAGAATACATTTTTTTTTAAGTTTACTTATTTGAGAGGGAGAGAGCACACAAGCACAAGCGGGGGAGGGGCAGAGAGAGGGAGAGAGAATCCCAGACAGGCTCCACACTGCCAGTGTGGAGCTCAATGCGGGGCTCAAACTCAAGAAATGTGAGATCATTGGGGTGCCTGGGTGGCTTAGTCGGTTAAGCGTCCGACTTTCGCTTGGGTCATGATCTCGCGGTTTGTGGGTTCGAGCCCCGCGTTGGGCTCTGTGCTGACTGCCAGCTCAGAGCCTGGAGCCTGTTTCAGTCTGTGACTCCCTCTCTCTCTGACCCTCCCCTGCTCACGCTGTCTCTCTCTCTCTCTCCTAGAAATAAATAAAACATTTTAAAAAAATTAAGAAAAAAAAATGTGAGATCATGACTTGGGCCAAAATCCAGCGTCAGCGCTTAACTGAGCCACCAGGCACCCCAATACAGAATACATTTTAATATGGAAGTATCTCTGTCTATACCTTTATTAATTTTTTTAATGTTTATTTTTGAGAGAGAGAGAGAGAGAGACAGAGTGAGAGCAGGGGAGGGGAGAGAGGGAGACACAGAATCCGAAGCAGGCTCCAGGTTCTGAGCTGTCAGCACAGGGCCCAATGCAGGGCTCAAACCCACAAACCATGAGATCATGACCTGAGCCGAGGTCAGATGCTTAACCGACTGAGCCACCCGGGCACCCCCACTGTGTGTACCTTTAAATGGTGGTAATAAGAACCACTGCATATACATATCTGTGATTAAACTTTCTACACAGCCTGGGAGTAGGAAGTGGAAACAAAGAAAGGGACCATGAACTTGCCATCCTTTAGAAGGTTGGCAGAGTTCTACCTTTACATTTCAGGTGAGTTGAAAAATAAAGCGAGCTGGAATCTGTTCCTTAACCAATGCAGATACCACAATTCTTACACAATAATGCTTAATTACCTAGTATATGGGTTCATGGCCAGTAAGCATTGCTCAGCTGCTTGTTATTACATGACTAATGCTTGTAATTTGTTTTAAGCAGGATCTCTGCAAAGCACCAGTTTCATTCATCACATGCTTCACTAGTTGGTGAGAGCCTCTGTGGCAATCCTAGCTCCCCTTTGAGATGTCACCGGTGTGACCAGAGGAACCCATCCAAAGGCCCAGAGAGGATCTGAGGACTTCAAACAGCTTAACCTCTCAGGTTTACTGAAACTCTTCAGAATAGAGGAAGAGGTGATATCTCTTCTTCAGTGTTTCCCAAATCTGGCTATTAGTCAGAGTCATTGAGGAGCTTTAAAAAATAAATACAACTTCCCAGGCCACACCTTGAAGGTTATATTACCAGCAATTTGTTAAGCATGCATTTGATGAGCATATACAGCATTAAAGGTCCTAGTCTAGGTCCTGCATACAAATTATTGATTCCATGAACCCTCACAACAACTCCATGTGGTAGATCCTCTCCTTGGACACAAAGAATTAGAGACAAAGTGAGGTTCTTGCCTGAGTCCATGCATCCAAGGAATGGCAGAGCTAGGATTCAAACCCAGGCTATCTGGCTCCATAACACACATTCTTAACACTGTGCTGTCTCTGGGCTGCTTGAGAACGTGATACAGGCGGTATGCTTTCTCCCCATCCACCTCTGATCTTAGTATAAAAGCATATACCAAATAGCAATAAAGCTGTTATTAAAAAAAAAAAAAAAAAAGCAAAGCTTACTCCAGTTGTCAGGAGTTAGGAATGGATGGTGGGGAGCAGGGGAGTAGCTCAAGGGAGGTCTTTTTGAAAAGTTCTATGTCTTGACTGAGATATCAATCACATGAATCTACACATGATAAAATGATAACACACACAGGGTACCAATGTACCAGTGCCTGGTTTTGATACTGTACTATAGTTGTGTAAGATAATGTCCATTGGGGAACCTAGGTGATTGGTACACAAGACTGCTCTGTACTATTTTTGCAACTTCCTGTAAATCTATAGTCATTTCAAAATGAAAAGTTAAAAAAAAAAAAGCATATGTCTACTTCCGGCAACCCTCAAGTCAATTAGAGGTCTGTCTCCTTAAGATTGGCTCAAAGAGAGATCATTCTTGGAAGATAGACCTTCCACTAAGGGTAAGAAAAGCTCAATGGCTTTGAGCAGAGCACGAATGCAGTGGCGGTGCTGGTGGAGAGAGCTGAGTGAGGTCACTACTAACAGAGTCACGCACTTCAGTGACTACACAGAGGGAGCTGAAACCAGTTACTTATGTCTTGCAGTGACTCCCAAATGAGTAGTGTCCAGCTGGCTTAACAAGAAGCTCTCAGTGGAGCTGAATGAATGCACAGAGGCCCTATGCCACACTTAGAGACTGACTCAGTAGATCAAGAACAGGGTCCAGCAGTCTCTGTTTTAAAACCTCCCCAGGTAATGGGTTTGAGAATCTTAGATTAAGGAGCATCTGATAAAGCTAGATCCCCAATAACGTCTCAGGAGCGACAACCACCACAGGCTTGATTTGGGTTGAGATGATTAGTCCAAGCTCTTGATTTTCATATGGTTGGTATGGTCAGAGACAAGCATTCTCTTCATGTCATATAAAAACATCCAAAGTATGTGCCCTTTTCTGAATACTGTGTATAAACAATGAGATATTACAATGAATTTTTCTGTTGCCTCTTTTCTATTTGGTTATTTACCAAGTTTCTCAGGGCAGAAATGTATTTTACAGACAACGTAATTCTGTTACAAATGTTTTAGGACTGGAAGGCCATTAGGCACACTGCTAAATTAAGAATGGTTTTGGTTACAGGTAGCAAAATAATCAACCAATAGTAACATAAGCACGCAGGGAGTCTATTTGTCTCACAGGAAAAAGTCCAGAGATAGGTACTTGCTGGAATTGGTTTCTGCAGCTCAAGAGTTGAGACTGACATCTCTAGTTTTCTTGGCCTTTCCTTCACAGCTCCAGCCTATCTGCATTCAAGACTGGATGAAGGGGAAAGGGCAGGACCACTGGCATTCTACTCTTGTCTCACGGGTCAGATGGTATCCCATGGCCATGACTGGCTGCAAAAGAGGCTGGGAAATGAAGTGTTTTGCTTTTATAGTCTCTATGGCAGAGGCAAGAAGGGAAAATGGGGAGGGGTTAGGTGTTGGGTGGGCCAACCTGCAGTGGTCTGCACAGCTTTCAAATTAAATTTTATCAGGCACTGTTTAAATACAGAAACTGCTGATCAGACGTATAATAATAACTTGTCAGAAAATACTGGATGAAAATCAGGCATAAAGATCTCCACTGTCAGTAATCATACAATGTTGTTTTGGTCTTTCATTCTCTGTTGGAACCAATTCTAGATTTTTGAGAACTTGTGTTCCTTCAATCAGTTGCCTGTATAGGAGGGAAAAATGGAAAATTTAGTCATAAAGTTTCACATTTAGCTTCCGTTCCTAAATTGAGTCCTATCTTGTGTAGCTGAGGCTATTTTGTATAAATCAGATTAACATTAGTCAAATATCATAAATAGTTGTAGATGTGTCCACTTTGCCATGGCTCCTTCACATCTGCTCTGGGATCCTTTCAGTCTGTCATTCTCACTGCTGTCAGAATGATCTCTTAAAAATGGCAATCTAAAAAAAAATGCAAGTCTGAGCTCACCTCCCTATTAAAACACTTCAATAATTTCCCATTATCCTTGTGATAAAGATCAAAAATGTCTACTATGGCGTGCCATGGCCGGCCTCCCCTCTCCCCCCAGTGCTGTCCTGCTTGGCGCGTGCTCCTCAAGTTCTCTGCCCCGGCTGGACTGGCTTCAGTACCTCAGTATCCCAGGTTGCTTTCTGGCCACATCTGTCCATTTTGCTCCTGCCCCCCCACTTCCTTTCTGCCCCTCCGCTTCCTGGCCTCCCTTCAGATCTTAGCTCAGCATCACTCTACGGGGAAGTTTTCCAGACCCCATCCCTGCTTATGTCAAGCTCCCTGTCATTTATTTGTATGCTTCTTTGATTAATTTCTGATTCTCTCATGAGGACATGGTTCATACTTTTACTTAATACTCAATGGCCACACAGTGCAGGCACTTAATCAACATTCACTGAATACACGACTAAAAGTTCAAAGCCATGCTAGTTTGGATCTCTAGATATTTGCCAGCTATAGCTGAAACTTCCCTGAGTGGAACTCGACTTCTGATGGTTCTCCCAACTGAAAGAGAGCAACAAGGGCCAGAGAGTCAGCCCTAAACATAGGACTAGTACCCTTTGCCACTGTTTGGGTGGAAACAGTGGCTGAGGGGAAGGTGAGGTTTCCATTTCATGAGTCTTTATAAGGACATGGCCATGTTGACACTGATCATGCTCTAGTCATCTCTTAGTCGGCCTCTGGCTGTGCCAATCAGAAACCATGACACAGAGCCCAACACAAGGTACGTTCTGAGGGTGAAGAGCAAGGGATAAATGGACAGATTCACCTCTGACCAAAGAGGATGTGAAGCCTGTTCTCCAAAATGGTTTCACAAATGTTGAAGGAACACCTACTGTGTGCATCTCTCCACTGTAACAGGCGTTAGGACAGAAGATGCGACTTTTTTACACTCTGCCAAAGAGGACAAAGCAGCAGCTTGATTTTGGTAATCAGGAGGTTTCTGACCTAAGCCCTGAACAGGATTTTGGCGTCCTAAAGGGAGGCAGAGAGGAACAAGATAAGCAAAGGCCCAGAGGCTCTCCTGGGAGTGAGGGTACTCAGTTGCCATGCTGAGTTTCCAAATCTCCATTTCCAGCCTTTGCCCAGCTTGAATATCCACTTCTGGTATTCCAGAATCGCCACCTGCCTCTTGTGTAGGCATCCTAATCTGAAACACAACTTGTCCACTCTGAATTCATGATCTTCTCCCCTATATCCTCCTTGTACTCTCTATCTTGGTGAACAGCACCAACCATCCAGTCGGTTCTAAAATCCTAGTTGTTTCTCTAGACCTTCACTGCCCAGTATGGTAGCCACTGGCCACACGTGGGTACTTTAATTTACAATTTAGTAAACTTCAGTTCCTCAGTTGTACTAGTCCTATTTTGAGTGCTCAGTGGCCACATGTGGCTGGTGGCTGTGATACTGGACATCACAGATTATGGTATGTTTGCATCTCTCCAGAAAATTCTGTTAGATATCACCACCCTAGACTCTTCCCGTGACCTCGCCACCACCATTTAAACAGTCGTAAAGTCTTGTTGAATCTAACTTCCGATTGTCTCTTGAATATTCTGTTTACCCCTTGCTTATCTGTTACTGCCAGTGCCTGGTGGCACTATTTTTGGCACTGTTATCATTTAGGGCACTATTATCATCGCTTCTTAACTGACCTTTCCACCTTCATTTTCATCCTTTGCCAATTAATCCCTCACTTCTAAAAAGAATTTTTTCAAAATAAGAACCTGGTCGTGTTGCTCCCGATTAAAAATTCTCCCGTGGCTTCCCATCCCCTTTGGGTGGGGATCCCTGCTCAGCAGAATGGCCCTCATAGCCCTTTGGGACCTAGGCCTAACTATCTCCTCCTTTCCGCCTTCCTCTCTCTCCATTCTCCACCAGGTACTAAGCTCTAGCCAGACCAAATAACTTGTATATAAGATGCTCTTCTGACTCCTTACCGCCCCTCTGCAAAAGCTCTTCACTCTTTCTGAAGTTTTATTTTACTCATTTTGATTCCAGCCTTCTCTGGCTAACTTCTACCTGAATTTCAGTACTCATCTCACCTTCTCATGAAGCTTTCTGTGACCCTTCCGCCATTTGGGAGTCCCCTATAATGAAATTAAATCCCCCCACCACTGTCCCCAACATATACCCCTTCTACTTATGCATGTATGAATGGAGATTTTACAGCCTTGTATTTTGATATTCTTTCCCTGTAAAGCCACTGGGTAAGACTGTGGGTTGATACAGTCTCCCCTGAAGGCAGATGGTGTCATCCATCTATCTGAAGGGGCACGTTGATGTAACAGAAACTAGGGCTCAAAAGGAAGGGAGAGTTCTATCTCACTCTGGACCTTGCTAACCATGTCTGGGCTTCCAGAAGGTCAGATAAACCTGGGGATGCTCTGAGATGACAGGAAGAGAAAGCATTAACACTAGAGGCAGCCATACAGTGGGGAAGGATGGTACCCCTGAAAGAGTTACACTTTATCAGAGTATCTACCTGCCTCCTATGGTGTTACTTTTCTACTTCTCCCTAGTGTTCTTTAAGGTCTTGTTTAAATATTCCAATCCAGACTCCGCTGTGTTTTGGAGATTTCAGGGATCAACTGAGATGATAGTTGGACTAGAACAATAAAAGAGGTGCATTGCCTCCCGAAAACCAGCGTGGCGGTAACAACGAAAATGAGTGAACAAGATTCCCGTGCAGAAAGGTGAAGCCCGTGGAAAATAGCAATCATCCTCCATCCGCTGCCCCCCCTAGGGATCCGCGTTTGCTTTTACTAATGGAGTCGGGAAGTGTTATCTTCTCTCTCCTGTATCCCTGATGTACTCTTTACAGAGCTGGCATAGCCCAGGTCTGACTGACTGACAGTTGTTAATTTTCTAATACTCTGGAGACACCCTAGAGGGCAGAAATTGTGCCTCTTCACTCTTTTCCCAGGACTAAGCACCATAACTGGCATATAGTAGGTGCCTAATAAAATGTTGGATCAGGAGGCTAACAGAAGTGAAAGCTCGAAAAAGATGTGGGGCCAGACAGTAAAGGCCCTGAATGCCACTCTAGACTTTAGGCTGTATGCATCTGGGATTGGGGGTGGTGGTGAAGGAGGAGTCATTAAACCTTTTAAAGCAGTCATGTCTGTGTTGAGAAAGGTACCTTTTAGAAAGATATGAAGGATCACCTAAGGAAGAAGATGTTTAAATGATCCAGGAAATTGTGAGGGTTATTTGAATTTCAAAATAATTGAAGAATGTATTTTCAAAATCAGAATGCAGCGTATTAGGATCCGGGAAAATAGAAGACAACACATTATTTTAGGTTATGCATCGATCAATATAAAGTCATCTTTTTTAAAAAAGAAATTTCCTTTGAATGAAAATATACTTTCTGCTTTTTCAGTCTAGAAATATCACTTGCATTACAGTGAAGGAATAATTGTGGTTAAAATTAAAACTGCTATGAAATTTCATGGGAAGAAGAGTCCGCAATTATCACTATGGAGCGGCTGGAATAATCTAATACTTATTCAGAAAAGTTCTAATGCTCTGCATCATTTCAGGGAAGACCAAGTGAACTTCAACTTATATTCACTTCCCTAATCAAACAGACATCATTGGAATGGTAAAAGAGTATAGTATATTTATCACTCATTTTAGGTCCACATGCCTATAAACAACTTGCTAATAGTATTCTAATAATTATGACCTGAGATGTTTCCGTATTTCGAATTGTTCAGTTAAAAAAGTTACTTATAATTTGGATAGTTTTCATCTATCTCTTCACAGTGTTCATATACAGTACTTAAATGGCTTCACCTCACTTCTGTATCTAGATGTATCTACATTATCAAGCACTATAGTATTATTCATAATAAATAAGAATGATAATATCCTTGAGGCTGAAGATAGAAAGATGGATGGATGGTCAGAACATTATAATGACTGTGCCTAAATGGTTTCTGTAGTTTGTTTGTTTTTAAGTAGGCTTCACGCCCAGCACAGAGCCCAAAGCGGGGCTTAAAACTCATGACCTGAGACCAAGACCTGAGCCGAGATCAAGAGTCAGACACTTAAACAACTGAGCCACCCAGGTGCTCCTCTGTGTTTTTTATAAATAGCAAGCTTTTTGTGAAATTCTCATTCTAAATGTTTGTCTATATTTATATTATTTTTGCTTTTAAATTCTATCTCCAGTTACTCATAAACTATATACCAAATCTTTTGGAACCACAGTTTTACATATATAAGTATTATAAATTTTTTGTTTAAAGTTTATTTATTTTGAGAGAGAGAAAGAGAATGAGCAGGGCAGGACAGAGAGAGAGAGAGAGAGAGAGGGAATCCCAAGCAGGCTCTGTGCTATGAATGCAGAGCCCAACATGGGGCTTGAACCCATTAACCATGAGATCATGACCTGAGCCGAAACAAGATTCAGGTGCTCAACTGACTGAGCCACCCAGGCACCCCCATATATGAGTATTATATAGACAAACATACAATGCACATACCCAAAAGCTACATATTTTCTATCTAGATAGGGTGTTGGTTGTAATGTGATGTAGAATTGTGACCCGTTGCTGTGACGGCCTTTGTTGACCATTCCAAGAACTCCCCTTTTATCGTGAGGAACTGAAAAGTTTTCATCTAGAAAATACAATAAACAGTAGAGGTCATTAAAATATTTCCAAATTGTGAATATTCTATTTGTTTCATACTTAACTGTGCTGTTAAAAAAGATAAGCTATAAAGTCTTATTAGAACTATTTGAACATTTCTTTACCTTTAGTTTATCATTACTGTAGCTAAAAACAAGTATGCTAAGAAAGTTAATAATGTAAAAGGAAGTACTTTAATTAATAATGTAAAAGGAAGTACATTGCTGAGGAATAAAGGTCAGCGAATTTTCTTGTGCTGTTTTGGCAACAGTCTTCATAATTTAGCTTACCAGTGTGATCATTAAAAATATTCCCTTTGAGAAGGCTTTCAGATATGACCCTTCCCCTCACAGCATCTTATACAGACCTCTGTGGTAGTCTTTATAACACTGTGTTAATTGTTTACATGGTAAAATGTATATGCAGGCAGGGACTTTGTCTCAATATAACTTAACTCTTAGGACCTCCTAGCACCTTAACTGGCATATATGTGGTCTTAAATGTTGATGATGAAAGTTCATGCTGATTTTTAGTCTTCAAATAAATTTTAATCTCAAACCACCTATGGACCAAGTGGAAAGTGATTTTTTTTTTTTTTAGAGTAAGGTTAACAAGCAAAGAGAATTGTATGTTGGTAAATTAGGTTACCATTTTCAGGAAGTGCCATTTCTCTCATGAAATATGATTGGCTTCCAAACTCAAAATACAGAAGGAAATAGTAGAGGAGAAATTCACTAAAAGTTTTCAGTCAATAACTTTATAAAATTCTGGGAATGATTGAGAGATATGAACAATAACTGTCAATAAGATTTTGTTAAACTGCAGTTGCTAAGTATTGTAAGTTTCAAAACTAAACCAACTAAGCAACTAAGCCATATCTGTGGTAGCTACTTTTAGCTTGTTAAGTTGCAAACTGAGTAAAAACCTCTGAAATCTCATGAAATGCAAATAAAGCATTTTTGTACAAATGCGTCTATATAATTACATTGATGCTCCATATCCATTTCAGGGGAATCAAGAAATAATCCATTAATTTTACAGAAAATCACATGGAATAGAAATCTGCCCAAAGATTCAGAGTTTTACCAAAACAGCATTTGTCATTGTTCTTAGATATTATGATAAACTTTTTCCTTAATTCTGTAAGCAATATGAACATTTGTAGAGTTGTAACATGTTTACATTCTGTGATTATGGGAGAACTTTTAAAGCTTAATTAACTTAGTTAACTTTTTAAAAGTTAATGTATAGGTATAGGCAGCCCCTGACTTACAAATTTAGTGTGTTCACCTCAAAAAAAAAAATGTGTGAAAATTAAATAACTATGTTAACAGTTGTTTTAGCAGAGTGTTGATGTGGAATGTAGGGACCTGAGGCTGTGTTGCTTCTAGATCGGCAGAGGGGAACCAGTCAGTGACGGTGCCACAACCTGGTAAAGTCCGTGGGTAGAATTTGACCTCCTGCTTCTGGGAAGCATCCAACTGAGGGTAGGGGAGCCAAGGCCCCGCCCCCCTTCTTGTTCTTTACCCAGTTACTGGTGGAAGCCTTTGCCACGAATAACAGGTGGTGGTGACCCTTCCCATATAAACTTGGCACAAGCTGTACCTAGGACTGTTGGTACCTGCTTCACAGCTCACAGGGAATGAATGCGCGGCCCCCAGCTGTGCTGGAGCATCTTATCCACTTAAAGACGGGAACCAGGGGCCTAATAGTGTTCAAAATAAAACTCTGTCCTTAGAGAAGCTTTCCTGTAAAATGGATATCCATATAGAATATTTACATTAATAGAGAAATATTTTCCTACAAGTAACAATATTAAGAAGGAGGATGAAAATCCCAGGCTTAATTCAACATTTGTTCATTTGACAAATAGTTTTTGAAAGATTTTTAAGTTTGTTTATTTATTTTGAGAGAGAGAGAGAATACAAATGGAGGAGGGCCAGAGAAAGAGGGAAAGAGAGAATCCCAAGCAGGCTCCGCACTGGCAGCATGGAGTCCAAGGTGGGGCTCAAACTCACAAACTGTGAGATCATCACCTGAGCTAAAATCAAGAATCAGACGCTCAACCAGCAAGTCACCCAGGCGCCCCTTGACAAATACTTTTTGAATGTCTAGTGTATTCTGAATGCTAAGTGTGGAGCTTAACACTTTTGATTTACATTAAAAAATGTAAAAGTTCTCCTATAATCACAGAATGTAAAAATGTTACAACCCTACAAATTTTCTTATTGATTACCAAATTAAAGAAAATTTTATCATAATATCTAAGAACAATGACAAATGCTATTTTGGTAAAACTCTGAATCTTTGGGCAGATTTCTATTCCATGTGATTTTTTTTTTTGTAAAATTAATGGATTATTTCTCAAAAATATAAATTTTTTTGAGGACAGGAAAAAAAAGACTGATCATTAAATCAACCAAACCTTTTTTATTTTTTCCCTCACTTTGTCTGAGTGAGTTAACTGTTATAGATGATTTTAACTCTATCACTAGCCCTGAATGGAAAAGAAAAATTTCAACAACATACCAAAAAAAAAAAAAGTTTTGAAGTAGGAGGAACAAAAAAGATCTTTTTTATAGCTGGGCAAAAATAGGAAAATTTTAAAATCTGAGTGCTGGCTAACTTAGCATGATCAGTAATAGTTTTATTTTTAGGTCATGCTAATCGAGGCATGAAAGGAAGTTTAAAAGAGATGGTAGGAACTCAAACCTTTTCATTACCTAGTCGGTGACTCAGGAGTTCCTGCCTCTGCCCTTTACCATAAGATATGCAAGATACAGAATCTAGTTACTGCTCTGTGGTCAAAACCAGCATCATTTGTAATACACAACATTCAGGGTACAAAGTAACTGAAATAGAAATCAGAATTTATGGGCTGAAGAAAATCAGTTTCTGAATTTGTTTAAAATAAAGCTCATTCCGATGGTTATAAAGGAAGCAAATACTGTAAGTCTGAGAAAACTGCCATGCATTCTCTCTGATAAAAATATACTCAGACAATTTAGGACATTTCCATATAATTTGCTGATGGCAGCAATATCAAGTACAAATCTGACCTGAATCCAGCAATATCAATTTTGTAAACCCAGTGTTCTCCTTTTACCATCCTATTTAACTAATAATAGTCACTCACTAATTATTTGCTATTATATAAAAGCACATGAAAGTGTGCTACTTAGTATGTTTTAATTGTTGCTTTTAATGAAGCATTTGTTTGTAAGCATGTTGACTATGTGTGTGACATTAGGAATGAATAGCCAGCATTCACGAACACTTGAGTGGATACAGTATATTTATAATATTAAACACTAGTGAAAATGAGAGAATTCCAGCTTTCATTTTCATAGACAACATGAATGAATTTCATTGGTAGTGATGAAAAAAAGAAGTAAGACACACAAAGAATGCCTATAGTATGATTCCATTTACATAAAATTCGGAAATAGGCAAAATTTATATTGTTTAGGAATATATAAATGGGTTTTACCATTTATATCATTTACCAAATGATAGTTTTACCAACTATCAAGAAAAGCAAGGAAAAAGTCAGGCTAATGATTACCTCTGAGAGAGGTGGAGTTATTGCTGAGGATGGGGTCCTTCTGGCATGTTGACAATTTTAATTTCTTGACAAGGATGATAATATGGGGGGTTGCTTTATAATAATGTTTTAATTGTACAAATGTACTTTCTATATATAAATCTAACAGTTAAAAAAAAATACCCCTTAAATGGCTACCCAGACCATACTATCTTCAGTTCTCATTTCTAATAAAAAATACTTTTGTATAACTTTTAGTTGCATTATTGAAAATTGACAGTACATCAGGTTCTTTGCCTTTTATTAATGTCCACTTTCATTTAAAGGCAAGGAGACCTAAGAACTGGACAAATGGATCATAAGTTCTGTATCTGTGAATTAGGGCAAAAGCTAATATTAAGAAACTGGTCTATTTAAGGTAACAAGGATAATACAGTATTTAAAAAATATATACCTTTTTTCTTTTCTTTTTTTTTTTTTTGTATAAATGACATTTTATCTAGTTAGCCCAAACTACCTAGTCGCCAATCCTTGGCCAGTGAGAAGGATTAGGAATATTACACAAGGAATGCAAGGAGAAAAGGGTTAATATTCAGTTTCTAACATTCAGAATAGGATTTGGGAAGACAATTTAAAAAATGATGATTCAAAACAAAGCAAAACAGACATTCTCTAAGTTAAAAAAAATGATAAACCAATTTATAATATAATCATCCAGTTAAATTATTATTTATTTCATTCTTTTAAATTCACTATGTTAAGCTTAATAAATGTGAGTGTTGTGGTTGTAGTTTTGGGGGGTTTTTTTGTTTTCTTTGTTTTTGGGGTTTTTTTGTTTTGTTTTGTTTTGTTTAGCAAGCCCTGGGTTTCAATTCTTCAGCTCATGGTAATAAGGTTCAATGAAAGATGCAGAGGAAGGCCTGACTGTCCGATGTGAAAATATCCCACAGGGCGTGAAAGAGGGAGGGAAACCCATGTTTTGCTGTTCTGAGCACAGTCCTCCTCTCTCCCTCAGAGGCATCTCTCGTTTTCATTTGATGGGTTGCTGAATTTCTAATTCTGCACCTGCAGACATAGTGAGTAATGGAGTCTTCCCTAAACACACTGGGCCTCCGCAGGCACCAGAGGACAGCCAGGCCTCCTTTTGGAGACTAAATCTCCCCAACAGTCTAAGCATACGAGTGAGGGATAATCAGCGGAGGTGCAGTGCAGGGTTGTCCAGGGGGCGGGCAGGGAGATGAGCTAAGAGCTCCGTCTCCTGCTGGACAGAAGGCCCAAGTTGTGTGAGCCTGTGCCTCCCAACAGGAGTCTGGGTGATCTGACAGCAGCTGTGGGGTGGAGAGAGACGGTGGATTCTCATCGGGGATTAAGGGTATCAAGAAAGCTTCCAGGAACGTCCCTTCCCCATCTGCAGTGTTTTATTTTAAGACCCAACTCAAAAGCTA